TTCAAGGGCACCCATTGAAATACTTGGAAATTAAACATTTAAACCCTGGAGTGTTATAAGTGGACATTTTTTCATTTTTGACTTTTTAAAAAAGTTTCAGATTTAGGGTGCAAATCAAAGTCAAAGCAGTTACCAAAAAAAAAAATCCAAGATAAAATATTGTAAAAAAAAAAAAAAAACACATATAAAGATGAAGGGACATTTCTTTCCCAATCAAACTTATAGAACTTATGTTAAAATATCATTGTGGCTCACTTGTGATTGGTCAGAGGCCATAGTGGTGATGTAGCCTGGCCTTTGCTGATTGGCTGGATGAAGTCATTTAGCCATTTTGAAAGCCCGCAGAAGTTACCATGTTGGGTTCCTTGCCTGATAAAGGGTTAAATTTGTATTTAATAGAGGGATCTGATCTGTGAAGAACTTTGTCAGCTCTGTTTTTGAGCAGCTTTTGTGTGTAAGAGTTTACCATTGAGACGATACATTTATCACAGTCATCTGAGAGACGGTACAAGATGTGCTTCTCTTTCTGTTCCGCCTTGCACTGCTGTTCTCTTTATGACATTCAGACTTGTTCCATGTTGAAAGGGATTTGTAAATATTACTAATTGTAGTAAGATTCCTGTCATGACCAGTGTAGTTGTTGAGATTTGAGACTGTCAGATTCATTTAAAGGGCTGCATGTCTCTAAAGGGCTATAGATTCTTGTGACTGCAGATAGCAACTGGTGCTTCAGGGCCGTTACAAAGACAACAACAGCACCTCCCCCTCTCCCACCACCTCAACCAACTTGTCAGCTTTGACCATGCCCTTGGGTTTCTTCACCCTTTATTATTTTTTCTGACAGCAGTGTTATCCATCTTCTAAATATACTGCAGTATATGCACATCTTGAACTTTGTCTTGTAGTCTGTTTGCACCTAATGATGATCAAACATTAAGTGGAAAAAAACATGTACACAGTAACAGTAGTTAGGATAGTGTGAGATAACAGGCGTCCTTACTCTCTACCCTGACATTTGCTTTCATGCAAAATTATAAACCCATTAGGTCATTTAATACATTATTCAATGCATTACAAGTGGTTAGTTTTCACACAGATGTCCACAGGAGCTTCCGTGCAAGCTACACTAGAAATGACAAATAAGGATGGAATGAGGGTGTATGCCATGAAAAAATAAAAAGGAGAATAGTAGTCTTGCTCAATTAAGCAACATTTTCTTTATGAAAAGGTGTTGTTCACTCATGTTAGAGGGATTTTTTTTAGGAAAAACACCAAAGTTTTTAAGGCTGAGTGCTTGAACTTAGGGCTTTAAAGGCTGTGGTTACAATTAAGATGTATTATTTCAAATGAAAGTATATTATTTTTTCAGATCTATCTGATCTGAAAAATAAGATGGAGTTTATCTGTAATAAATTTGCCGTAACGAACAGCAAAGCAACTCTCAAGAATTCAACAATATGCTGCAATTAACAGTTGCTTTATTATTGATGTATATATGTGTTTTGTTCATTACTTGATTAAAATGCAAACATAATTAAAATGTCACACATAATGACAATTCATTAGTGTGTTTTTGTCTTTAAAGTGGTTTTTCTTACAAATCCAGCCAACACTTCAACAACGATTTAGCAAGCGGATGCAAGGGTGGCGCAGTTGGTTAGCACCGTTGCCTCGCAGCTAGAAGGTTGCCGGTTCGCGTCCCAGTGGGGCCACCGGGATCTTTCTGAGTGGATTTTGCATGTGGGTGCTTTTCGGGTTCTCTGGCTTCCTCCCACACAGTCGAAAAACATGTTGAGGTTAACTGGTGATTCTAAATTGTCCGTAGGTGTGAATGTGAGTGTGCTTGGTTGTCTGTCTCTAAGTGTAGCCCTGTGATAGACTGGTGACCTGTCCAGGGTGTCCCCAGCCTTCGCCCTAAGTCAGCTGGGATAGACTCCAGCCCTAGTGAGGATTAAGCGGTGTATAGATAATGGATGGATGGACATTTAGCAAGCTTACGTAGCTTCCACCAAACTGTGATCACTAATGGAGTTAAGTCATGCAAAGGCACTCGACTAATAAACTCTTGGCCACACCAGTACAAGGCTGCTGTTGCAGCATAACCCCTGAATGTCTTGAGGTGAGCAAAGTGTGTGTGTGATTGCTTATGACTTGTAACTTTTTTTTTTTTTAAGAGGAAGTATGTGTTATTTATTGTTAAATCATAAATTATCTGCACTTGCTTCGAGGTGGTAATAAAAAGTAAATGGGATGCTTTATGATGGATCTGTGCAGGATCTCATTATACCTGCGAGGTGCTCTGCACACTGCAGTTTCACAGCTCAGGCCATATATCACTGTGACCTCTGACCTCAGATGCCAGCACAGCGGAGGTGAACGTTGAGATTCTTTCTCCTCTGCAATCCCCCCCAGCTTCACTACAGTATGTAGGCCACTGTATTATGTGTTGCTCTGTGCTCCCCTCCTTCGTGTGTAGTTGAGAAACAGTGATGTCATTCTGCAGTCCAACCCTGTTGTCATTCTGTGAAAGCAGCTCCTTTTGACTTTGAGTGGGTCGCTTTGTCCTTTGTTCCGCGGAGGTGGCCTAAATGAGTTTGTGGGTTTCCTGGAAGAACAGTGAGGCGACATCTTTCATCCTTGAATACCAGCACACAATGATTCCCTTTATTTTAAACAACCCACGATGTTATAGCACACACATTTGTTCCTGTGTTCAATAACCTGCCTGCCTGGTTGCTGTTATGATAGGGATAGCTCAAGCTGTACATTCTTGGCATAATTTTCTTGTCAGTGTCGAAAGGTGAAGGAAAAAAAAAGGATGATGCTCTGTGTTAGAGTGAGGTGGTTATATTTGAGATGTATTGACAAGGCAGATGGGCCTCGGACCCATTTGCAGCATCGATGTCACCCCGAGCTTTACGTTTTTAAATTCACCATCTGCTAATCAATGTTCAGTTTAACATACCTGACTCGCTTGTATGGATGCTAGAACAAGATTACAAAGTAAAATTTTTAAAGTTATGATCAAGTTGGACAAATGTAGTGAGACAGATGTGACAGGATCAGACCTGCTAACGGTATGTTGTCTGCTCTGACCAGCGTGTATGCCCTTGTGACAGCTTATGCCAAGGAGACATCATTTTTGTTGGGTTTCCTCCCACATGTCCATATATATGGCAGATATATCTTTAATACCTGGATGGAATTTCCTCTAATTTGGCACTGATGCTCCCTTGAACTCAAGGATTAACTGATTATATTTTGAAGGCCAAAGGTCACGACCACTATGGCCTCACAAAACACACTTTTGGCCATAACTCCAAAATTGATATGTTAGTTATGACACAATTTCCCTCAAATGTATAATGGGATGAAATTAGACATTAACAGAATTTTATATCAGAAAAATCAAAGGTCAAGCCTGGACAGATGTGGATATAAACTGCACCTTGACTGGTTGGTGGAGGCGTGCTATTGTGAGGCTTTAATTGTAGTTTTTTTTTTAGGTGGCTAAGGAAAAGAGAAAGCTCTCTTTCTTTTCCTCTTTCTTGCTTTGCAACACACTTGATCAGCAAAACTAAGTGCTGCTGCTGCTGTTGTTGTTGTTGTTGTTGTTGTGCTCTGCTGAGGTTGCAAAACAGAACAGGATGGTCTGCTGTTTGCAGGTTGCATATGTCGTGGCTCTGTGAGACTGAGTACTGTTGTCACACACGGAACAGTTGACCAGTTTACTGTTGTGCTTGTATACGATAGGGATGTCTGACCTCACGTAACATGACCTGTCCAGAGGGTCATTTTTTAAATATAATATGACAGTACACACCTAAGGCTTCAGAATATTTTAATTCAATCCTTTTCTCTGAGTAATACATTTTAATTTTGTGATTCACTTCAATGTCATGTTGTAGCCTTTGTATAGCCTCCAAACATCAGCACAACAACAGCATCACTGAATTTGGAACATCACTCCTTGGGCTACTTTTACTCAACTCATTATCCAGTGCTATTGGTCCCCGAGCGCTCAGAAGGCCTCATTCCTGGTCCCTGTGCGCTGTCCTCGGAGAGCAAACCTCATGTTTTGTTTCATTTTTTTTTTCTAGCAACACCATATAATTACACAAGTCTCTACTTCTGTCCATGGAGAACCCTACGGCAGATCTAATGCCTTACCTTTCCGTCTGAAGTTTATTTTCCCAAACTTTTTTGGCTGTGCTGCTCCAAATGATTATTCTGCTCTCTGTCCAACAGACCAGATAGTATTTTGGACAAAGCTGGTTTAGTTTTAGGCATCATGCCCCAGTCTTCCGTTGGCCCTATTCAGCATCCAGTCTGTCAAGTCAGACCACCTGCGCTTTGTAATTGTGCTGAGCACTGGGAAATGCTTTTCTTTAGTTTCAGTTGGGCCAGGTGGTGTTTCAGCACAAGTCCTCTGCTTCATGTGGCACAGCAGTGATCTCTGACAAGTCAATTAAGGCAGACAGTCCTCACAGGATGGTGGGAGTTGGAACTGAATAGAAGCAATAACTGTAAACTGAAAGCTAAGCATTTAGTGACAGTTGGAGCTGGACTCATCATTAAATTATAACTACAGCCATTGCTTGTGAAGTCAGTGCAGCTACTTTTTGTGTTTTGCAAACAGTATGTTGTGCCAATTTTGCTGCAACTGCTGGAGGAGGAGCAGTTAGACAAGCAGACCGGCTACTTGATCTGTTAAATACCTTTATTTTGTCCACCCAAAAATGCAACACTCATGGTGAATAGGTGCTTATGATTTCAGGATGGAGTTTGCACATCATGTTGCTCTCAGATTTTATTTGTGTCTTTAAATTATGAGTCTTGCACTATTTTTTGTATCTTGCTGACTTCTCACATTTGTTGCATTGGATATTAAGCAGAGTGTTGCTGAGTAAGATCAAACATAACCAGTGCATTTATCTGTCTAGATAAGGCAATGAAACGTCAACAAAGCTTCATGTTATCTCTCTTGTTTGTGTTTACAGGAAGAAGTCCTTTCTGTTCTCCGCCCTCTACGCTGCCTGTATCCTGGGGGGCCGCCATGTCATGAAACAGAGGGAGAAGTTTGAGTTGAGGAAACCGCTGGTGCTATGGTCACTCACACTTGCTGCATTCAGGTGAGAGAGTTAAGGAGCAATTAATAATCCATTGTAAAAGTGTCACATTTTAATATGCTGTTGTCTCATTTCTTATTTACAATATAAAGTCCTGCACCTCTGTGGGAACTTCACAACCATGACTAGAAGTCAAAAATGTATTTTGTAGTATAAAAAAATTAAAGGAAAAGAACAAAAGTTGAATTTCTTTGATTATTTTACTAAAATTGATAAAAACTGGAAGTATAACATTTTTCAAAATGCCCAAAAGTGTTGCTAATACTAGAAAAAGTCACAGATAGCCCAAGAAGCATTCTTACATTTTTTATTTTTTTGTAGAATCTAGTTTGAACAAAAGTCTTTTTGCCAGAGTTTAAATTATACTTGTTGAATAAAGTGATTTAGCTGAAATATCACAATTTTAAACTTAGACGTGGTGAAGTTTTCTGACAAAACGACACATCACCAATGAAGTGTTGAAGGTCCATTTCAAAGTGGAAAAGCTGAAATATTCTGTTTTTACAGTCTCTGGCACTGATAAATTACAGAATTTTGGAAAGATAAATACCTTTCTAACCCGCTGGTGGATTTTAGAGTTAATCAGTTATTTGTCAAATGAATGACATTATATTACTAATAAATCTCCTGCCTCCCATATAATTTACAAACATCTTTCAACATTTTTCTACTTTTAATTAAATATTTTCTGCAGGTCAAGTAACGCCGTAGGCAGGCAGTTGATTTAATGTCATATTTGTGCCATGTCATGGCTGTGATGTCACTTGGATCTGTATTTGTCCAAATTTGCTTTCATTCACTTCATCCCTGTGGTTGTCCTTTTTTTTTTTTCAGCACAGGGATTGATTTAGACCTACAGTTTGCTTTAATTTCTGTACAGTATGCCATTTCTCTACTAGTGCAGAATGAATTTATTGCTTTAGACACAACCAGCAACAGAGAGAAACAGGTGATGTGCTGTTATGGATCCATAGAATGTCTTTTAACGTCCTCACTTGGGAGGTGATTAAAAACCGAATGTGTTTGGGAACTGGAAATAAATAGATCATTTACATGCCAGTATTGCTTCATATTGTAACACATCATTAAACCTGCAGCTGGTGCCAACACACCTGGCATGGACTTTATACCTGTACAGTATGGACAGTGTGGTGTACACGCTGTAGACCGTTGTATGTAAACATATGAAACATAGTAGTCATGTGAACATCCACAAATCCTCAGTGGAATAGGTGCTACATACGAAAACAACTATGATGCAACAAGTAGCTATACCTGTTTGCTGTACCTGTTGTCTCTGTCTATGCAGTATATTTGGTGCCATCCGTACTGGGAGTTACATGATGTACATCCTGATGACGAAAGGGCTTAAACAGTCAGTTTGTGACCAGAGTTTCTACAATGGGCCTGTCAGCAAGTTCTGGGCATACGCCTTTGTACTTAGTAAAGCACCAGAACTGGGTAAGTCAAGTCCTCCTTATGTCATGCCTATTATTGTCTGTGCAGTGGCTGTAATATGTTGTAATCCATAAAGCATTTTGTCCAGGTACATTAATAGATAAGCAGGTCAAGTTTGGTTTTGGATTCATTTCAGTGTCATAAATTTGTGCTCATTACTGATAATGCTTGCAGATAGCCAAGACTGAATGCTACAGAATGCCAGAAGTGCATTTCTGAACTGTGATTACAAGAATTCGTTAGTCCATGACTATCGTTGGTGGTAGTACTGTCCAGTGTTAAAAGAGTAAAATATCAGTTTTCCTGGTTTTCATTTGTACAAGTCTAGAGACTCAGCATTGTTTTAATTTTATGACTTTCATCTTTTGATACCACTGAACAACATATCTTTATCTTCACCAGTGAAATGTAAAATAATAACCCAAAGGAATCAGAGGAACTTTAAAGTTTCCCTAAAATGATCAGTTTTGAGGACCTGTTTTCATGTTTGTCCATCCTCCTGGTGGTGAACTCCAGGCCTAAACCAAGAGCTGTTGTTCCTCTCAGTGGGAGGTGATGGTGGCAGGCACTCATTACCCCTGTTCTCTGTCTGGTTGTTGGCCAAACCAGAAAGTCTGTCAAGGCTGAAACCCATAGACTGGACAGTCACTTTGTATTCACAAAGCCCAGACTCACAGATTTACATACAGTAAACAATAAGGCTGGACTAATTTAAGAAAATACAATAGTGTATATTGAAATCTTTGCATAAATTGAAAAAATGAAAACGTAGGCCAAGCTGGCATAACAGTAACACAGCAAATAAAGTTACTTAGATCCTTAAGCAGTTTTCAGAAATATTATCACTGAAAAGCAATTTGAAAACGTGGCAACCTCTTATATAAAAGTATATCATTGCCACTTGTATTTCTGTTTGTTATTAGTTTGGCATCCTGCTAATATGCCAAAGGTTTCAGTGCTACTCTGTGTCCCAACAGCTTGCTGGTTTAACACGGTTCGTTTAGCTTTTATTTTCTGCATAACTGAGTGCAACTTGAATCACAGCCAGCTATTGTGAATGGGTAAATGATAACCAAATTCCTTTTTTGTACTCTCAACTTATCCGCTGTCCACTTCTTCTATCCTTTCTGCAGGTGACACTCTCTTCATTGTCTTGAGGAAACAGAAGCTCATTTTCCTCCACTGGTACCACCACATCACCGTGCTGCTCTACTCCTGGTATTCATACAAAGACATGGTGGCTGGCGGCGGATGGTTCATGACCATGAACTATTTGGTCCACGCCGTCATGTACTCTTACTACGCCTTGCGAGCGGCCGGCTTCAAGCTGTCGCGCAAGTTCGCCATGTTCATCACACTGACCCAGATCACCCAGATGCTGATGGGCTGTGTGGTCAACTACCTGGTGTACTCGTGGATGCAGCAGGGCCAGGAGTGTCCATCCCACATGCAGAACATTGTGTGGTCCTCCCTCATGTACCTCAGCTACTTTGTGCTCTTTGTCCAGTTCTTTTTTGAAGCCTACTTCGGCAAGTCCAGATCATCGGCTGCGGCTGTCACCAAGAAAAGCGAGTAAAAAGAAAATGCCATAAGTATGCGAAGAAGGGAGATGATGGAAAAAAAGGGAGTTGGAAATGGATAGCGGGGACCAGTGGCTTGAGAGATGAATGGGCATGGATGACAGAGGGGTGGCACGGAGGCCGGGGAAGTGGGAGTATAGTCGGGGTGGGAGGGTCATGAAATGGTTGGTGTTTGTGCTTGAGCATTACTACTAATGTGCAGATCTAAAAAACCTCATTGGAGGTAATGTCTCCCTTGGGGGATGCTGAGGATGCAGCGCCACCATAATCAAAAGCCATCATAAGTTGTCCACCTGAGGTTTAAAAGCCCCCTTTTTGAATTCACATTCAATAGTTTTTAAAACCTAAAAGATAATAAAAGGATAAAATTTTAGATTTACATCTGCCACAAACATAAGTTTACTTATTATTGAAACAAAAACACAAAAGAAGGTACATATGAAGATGGATGGAGTCAGCATTAACGTGAACCATCCAAGTATGTTTTTGTCTGTCTGTTGTCAGTGTTTTGTTGTTTTGATTTGATCTGTCAAAGAAAAAGTTTGACACACTGGTGAGTGAATGAGGCTGAAGTGTTGGTGGTTGGTGTGACCTGATGGGGTGAACGGCACTGTATCGTCTGTGTCTTACATTGCAAAATGCGATATTTTTCTCAGGTCTTAGGTTATCTCTTTCTTAATATAATATGCATATCAAGACAAAGTAGACATGTTTAACATCTGCACCAGTTTACAGTATGGCTGAATTTCATCTAGAATGGCTGCGTAATTGAAAAGAAGCATGAATGAAGCTGACTGGACTGAATGACTGAGATGATCACACTGCTCCTGGCCATGATGGGAAACAGATGCTGACAGTGCCCTGCTTCACCACGTGTCATGAACCTCGCTAAAGTTGCCGACCACACTTGGAAAATGACTTGCCATTGATTTCCAAACACTTCTTTGTGTTGAAGGGTCCCTACCAGTGAAGAAAAACCAGTCTGTTGGACACAGAAGGCTTAAATGGAGGACAAACATATTTATGTTTAGCAAAAAGAAAAAAGAAAAAATCAAACATGCAAATTGTCAAAATCTGCTGTATTGAAAAAAAATAGTATGTATCCTTAATGGTGTCTGTTGTGCTATTGTGCATTTGCACTGTGTCAATGTCAAAACAAGCAGTTGTTGCTGAAAAACTTAACGTATGAACAAAGAGTGCAAAAATGTGACATGCCTATGGTGTTTATTTTTTTTTTTTGTCTCAGCTGCAACATCCTGGCATTGCATACACATAACCATGTTTTTGGTGCTGAACCTGAAAAGCCATTTTAAAGGAGCAGTGTGCAGGATTTAGTGGCATCTAGTGGTGAGGTTGCAGATTTTAACCAGCTCCCTCATCATTGGGAAAACTGACGGTGGTCCTACTTTAACACAAACACACTAAAGGCCCTCTCTGGGTGTCGTGTTTGATTTGTATGTTCTGAGCTTTTGTAGAAACTCGGCCGTGCGACACGTGAGAGCACCTGGTCCCTTAAGGGCTCATTCTACGCTGAGGCAAACACAATGAGACGCAGTTACAGGCGATGAAAACACAAGTATGAAGACTATGTTCTGCAAACAGATCTCCCTAAATCATACACACTGGTCCTCTAAGGGCTACTTGGCATTTTTACAAGTGACAATATTCAGAAGGGTCAGAGGATCATCACTTTTAGATATCCAGTACATGTGCTCATCAGTTTCAATGACTAGACAGTTTGCTTGCATGCATGCAAAACTTTATTCAGTGTAGCAGCAATGTTACAGTGTACAATGTACATACCTGACTGCTCCAGCTTATCAGGGATTCTGCTTTTGGTTCCACCTGTGTCATTGAGGTAAACGTGTATCAACACTGGATACAAGTGGCTGGCGGCAGGTATGAACAGCATACATGACTGGAGTGACTCATCCAATAAAACATTCCACAGTTACTACTGGACCTGCATTCAAAACTGTTCACATCCACTGTACTGGCCTCCCCCTAGAGGTACTGTTGTGCAATAAAGCTTAATCATTGAGACTAACGTTTGTGCAAAAACTGTTAAGTGGGCAGATCCTTCACTTTGAGTATGAACAATATACATTTAATGTGTAAAAACGAGGCTCTTTGCTCTCTTTTGTTTATTCTGGCACCTTGGTCAGTAACTCAGTTCTTATAATTCATTGTTGAAGGCATTTCCATAAGTCAAGAGTTTTTCTTTTAAAATAGTTAATCATGGATGCCATTAAAATGCTGTTCTTTAGTCTGTGCATTTGAGATGAGCTCATAACTTAAAGAATTAAATACAACTTTACTTTTTCAGTCGCTTCACTCAGATCCAAGATGAAACATGTATAGAAAATGAAACCGTGAAGAAAGCTGTTTTATTACATATGAAGCTATTGCAAAAGCTCACATAACGGGTTATTCATTAAGATTAAATATGTATTATTAATAGTGCAAAGTAATCAGTGACATTAAAGACCCCATCTGGTGGAGATCAAGTTTCCAAGTGTTAACATGTCCATGTAGTATTTTTTTTTATATGCTTGAAGACAAGCCATCAGTGAAACAGGAAGTCAATTGGCTGAATATTTCTACCTTAAAACTGCAATGGCCCAGTGACCATCTCAAAAACACAGATTCAGACTTCTGGGGTTTCATACAAAGCAAACCTAACTGACTGATCCTGTCAGTTTTAATGGGTGGGGATGTCTATTATCCTTCTTAAGAACTGATTTCTGGTTTGAATGGCAGCATTTTGCCAACTATACAACTTCCCATTGTGTAGTTTGACCTTGTTTGAACAGACTGATAGGTGAGCTGGTGTGCTGGAGCTGCAGCCGGGTGGCCGGAGAGAGTCATGGGGACTTCTTAGGGTGTAGATTTACATCTGAGCAATTTTAACGCCAGAGAGTATTATTTTCATGGAAAAAGAATAAATATTAAATATAAATAAAAAGTGATTGACTTTGAAAATATCCTTGACTCAATGACAGAAATGAAAAATCCAGTGTTAAAGTAAAAACTGGTTGAATAAATTGCTTGAAATGGAGGCCCAATTCATTATAGCACAATTATGATTACAAATAAATAAAAATACATGTAGTAGCTTTAGCAGCAGACTGTACAGGCATGATTAGCTGAACCTAGTGTGCTGGAGGTGAACCTCCTCTTGTTGAATAATGCGTCACTTTCCCACCTACTGTGAAAAAAATTGGCTGTAAGTTGTTCCCACTACATATGGAAGTCTGAAGAATCCGAAAACTGCTTCACAATTACGGTAAGTGTGAAATAATGTTTGTCAACATTTGAGTTGTTAATGAAACTGAAGACTGGCTAGCTAGCTACCTAGCTAGCTAGCTAACTTTAGCCGCACCCATTACTGCAGGTCGCCTGAGATTTGAATTTACTTACATTTTGAGGTCTCACTGTGTGTTGGAAATTGATAAACCTAAAAAAAGAAAGAAAGAAAATGCCACAAGTTTGGCAAAAGTTGCGTATAATGTTTTAGTTGGGTTTAAAATGCTAAGTTAAATTAACCACAGCTGAAGTTAGCCTAGCTGAGAAGGTTACTTATTAGCTTCAGCCAAGAAATGCTCAATGAAATTACAAAGACAGTAACTCAGGAAGAAAGGTACGATCTCCAAATGTGACCCTTTAATATGTTATAAATAACTTTAATATCAGTAGCATGACTGACAGTATAACGCTTCTAGTCCACAGTTATAGCATTAATTTATAAAGTCAGGTGCATTTGTTCATAAGAGCCTGGAGAAGTCCACACAGGTTTTCATTGTTCTCAGTTGCTTATGTTTCTTCTTGTAATCACAGACTGACTTGATGATGTTGAGCTCAGGGCTCTGTTTGGACTTCATTCTACTGAAGGTTGTTATATGACTCTGGCTCTGTATTTGGGATGGTTTTCATGCTGAAAAATAGATTTCAGATCAGATGGTTTCCTGATGACGCTGTGTGAAGGATAAGAATCTAAACTGCCTTTGAGTTAATCACACACACTGGTGCCTCTTTTCTTTCAATTTGGTTTGAGTGTAGACTTGTGCGTGTGGATAAATATGAATCTGACAATTCATCACAAATGTGACATATTGTTTTTTATTATTTAAAGCTTAAATTTGGTATCAAAATGACAATAACATGGTCCTGCAGCATGTATAATAAGATAAGATAAGATAAGATAAGATATGCCTTTATTTATCTCACAGTTGAGAAATTCAAATCGTTGGTAGCAGCATTCAACAGAGGTACACATATACGAGACAGGAAAAAATAAAAAATAAAAAATGTACATATAAATTTAAGAAATAGTGCAAGCAAGGAGAGTAGTGCAAAACAGAATATGAAAAATGTCATACATTGTAGTCTTGAGGGCATTCATTTTTATTTTTATAAGTATTTAACTTTAGCCCTTTCTTATTGTGATTTGGTGTTTTCTTTTTTGCTTCTGTATCGCAATAATTTTCCAGGTCTGGGATAAATAAAGTACTTCTATTCTATTCTATTCTATTCTATTGTATTAATAAACCACTTTCAGGATACACATGGAGGCCATGTTCCACTCATGTCGTCACAGTTAACAACACGGCTCAACAGGTAATTGATTTCAAAACGAAATCGCAGTTTGAAATGATTGCAATTAGCAAATCACAAAGGATGCAATTGAGGATGTATTCTATGCAGCCTGTCTCACCCTGGGCTTGAACTCTCCCATCATTGGCTTTACAAATCTCTGCTTGCTCTGTGTGACAGTCAGGCTTTTGATGGTGACTCATGTTGTGAATGTTGAACTGAAGCTTCACTTTAGGAAAATATTGCAAATCAAATCACAATATCTGGCAGAAAAAGTCTCAATGCAATACTTTACCCAAACTGTTCAGCACTAGTAAGCCAGTAATGATGGATGTTGTTGGGAAGTGGATTCAGGTGGTGTTGGTGTGCATGGAGGGAGTTCAAAAATATTACATGTAAAAATGTTTTGATTTTATACAGATGCAGAAAGTCGTGCTGATTTGTGAAAGCTTTTGCACAGTTTCCATTTCAACTGACAATTTATGCAGATTATATTGCAATAATTATCTACTGCAAGTGGGCTTTGGAATTGATTTTTTTTTGTCATACAGTATCTGTATAATAATATAATTTTAGAATGCATTACAATTTAAAAAGGGAAATAAGTGGCAGGTTGGCAGACGTTCTTCACAGTTGTTTCTGCACAAAGGGCTGTAGATCCATTAGGTATTGTATGTCTGAGATGCTCACTGAGTAACACTATTTGAATTTGCAAGAAAGGCTCGATTCGAGGCCAACTGCACACCTTTTCTGGTCTGAATTAGGTTGCATGCATTTTATTTTCCACTCTTTTGTTGACTGCCGTGATGTATTCTGATCTGTCCCACCAAAAGGTTAAGACTCAGGCGACCTTGTCCAACATAGACAGCTGCAGTCTAAGTGACTGTGCTGACGTATTTAGATATGTGCAACACTGCCAAGAGGTGCATTACTGTTCTGTGTCCTCTTAACTATGTAAATCAAAGTGTGAATTGATTTTTGTGTGAACTGAGCAGTCATCAGTGTTTTATTAGTCTGCCTGAAGCATGTTCACTCCTCTCAGTGGAGACCTGATTGCACACAACGGCCAATGACTTTCTTTTGTTTATGTTGTTTTTATGTGGAACAAAAATAGGATAAAGCATCTGCCCCATAGTAAAGCTGTTCACCCAGCAGTCAGTGTGATTGCTGCTGCTGATAATCGTCCCTATACCTCTGACAGTTTGTCAAAGTTGACCCATGACAGTGTTTTTTTTAAATACATTATCGCCATCTAGTGGAACAAAGACGGTCCAACCACAAAGCTGAAAATATGAAAATTTAGTTTTTTTTAAAAAATTGAGTCGCTCAAGCTGCAACAAAAAAGGCATGACAACTGAACATTTTCATTTTATTTAAGCATTTCTGGGGGAATCATAGTTACAACCATTCTGATAAAGTGCTTCAATAGTTTTGATTTTGAATTTTAAGTTAAATAAAAATTGTAATTATATATGTATTTATACCAAGGTAGGTACAGTTTGTTTGTTTAATTCATTAATTGGATTCATTTGACATAAATCTATTGTAATGCATCTTCTTTATGATGGTGAAGTTTGAACATTAACAAAACAAGTTATGTATTTATGTTGTGATAAGGGTGACATTCATTGATTTAAAAAAAAAAAGTTGCCACTTCAGGGAATACAGATTTTGGGCTTTGAGACGTTGTGCTCCAACTGTTCTTATCTACTTGCCCTCTGGAGACGAAACCACCAAGGGAGCTCCCCAGGTTTGGGTCTTTTGCTTCTCTATGGTGCACCCATAGATTCTGGCTCATGTGTCTATGTCCAATACGTGTATTAGACCTCCCTCCCCTTTTGATTTTAAATCTGCTCAAATCCTCACAAACCAGTGTTACTCTGTCCTGCTCAAGAGCTGAAGGGACCAAATACTGACCTGAAGGATCAGAGCAAAGCCTTTGAGTGGGTAGCTAATTCCCTCTTTAGCCCTCATCAGCTGTCCTCTGGGCTGGAATGGAGACATGAGCGATAAGACAAAGCTAGACCCATCTGGCAGGAAAACACAAAATAAGCTAATGGAGAAGAAGTGAAAGTAGTGTTGTCATTTGTGCAAGTTTTTTCATTTTTTTGGTAACTTTTTTTTGTTTTCCCGTCTTCTATTTTTCCTTTATCGTTGTAGTGGAGTTCTTTCTTTAAATTGAATTACTTTTTAAACAAATAACGGTCATTAAATTACCTTGAGTTTATGTTTTTTGTGATGATCCGTTGGCACATTTAACCACTAACTCAACCCCTTTCATTATTAAATATTTGGAGACAAAAATGACTCATAAATGTCGGCAGCAAATGACTTGAGAAGATCATTGTGTGAAGATGGTACTCTTCAAACTACTACTGAGTTCTCTTTCTTTTTGTGAGCGTTGCACTTTGGACGTTTGCCTTTTGTTACATATTGTAAAGTCATATTATGATGGTTGTCCAGTCCTCTAATTTGTGATCACTGATTGATTTTTAAATTTTCCCACTGATTAGTCTTGAGCAGACTTTTGATTTTGTCCATAGAAAATGTTAATGTGCTAGCTATCAAAAATGTTACTTCAAAATCAGTTGTCTGCAACAGCAGTTGTGTGGAAGTTCATTTAAATTCAATTGATTTGCTAACACTAGCAAGTAAGTAGTTTACAATATCAGTCATCGGTGTTAAAATTTTCAGGCAGTACTTTGAATAAGAATAATGAAGACCTGTGTGCATCTACTCTAGAAGCCATGCCTTAGCCTACAGTAACTGGATGACTGGGACATTATGTCATAAACCAAGATTTGTCTTCTGTAAAAACATATCCACATCTTTCTTTAGTACTAGTACAGATTGGTCATTTACAGATTTAACATATCTTACAAGCAATATGGCCACTTCTCTAAATTCCTCCTTGTTCCTCTCTGTCTTAAACCTGCCTCCCCTCCTGACAGGAAGTTGTTTAACCTATCAGCTCGCTTGATGCACAAGTCTGATGGGAGTTGTGGAGATTTGAATGGTGCGTATGCTGACATCTTTGTGGGCCTCAGTGACCTACAGTTGTCAGAGGTCTGCAGAGACGTTTACATGTGTTTTTGGAGAAGCATAACTTTGGCTTTAGTCGACTGGTTAGTTTTTGGTCCTGTGCCCTGCTATACGTCATTTACTTTGTGACGGGAGGTGTACACTATAAGTGTGACTGTAAGTTACACGTAGATATTAAGAGCACTGGAGTTGCGTTCTTACTGAATCGGGGACTACTGCTGTGTTCACAGTCATTCATTCAAGCAGTGAGATGATTAAGGAAAGCAGAAGGTCTCTAGTGATTCTTAAAAATTAGATGACTAGCGAGAGTTTTTCCTTGCCTTCCTCCTAATGTTGACTTCTCCCTCCACAAACTCACCAAGCATCCAAACCATGCAGGGGGAAACACAAGCAGCCAGTCATGGTTCCTGCAGTCCCCATGTGGTAGCCCTGTTGATGACGTAGGCCTGATGTATGGTTACATTTATGAGGAGGCTCAAGTGAACGATGGTGCAGCCCAAGGCCTCAGAGCCTGTGCATGTAGCCTCTGTAGGTACAGCATTGCCCCTTAATGCAGAAGTACACATCCTAAACAACATGTTAGGGCAACAGTGGTGGCGCAAATAGTTGGTGCAGACGACACAAGTTGTGACTGGGCTATATTTACCCTTCCATGTTTCCAGTTTGGGTGAACAAACAACCACTGTGGATTCCATTCAGTGGCACAACCTCATCCTCTGATGCTGTTTCCTTCTTTTTCTTCGTAACACAAGACAAAGCTGTATTTTTGCTGCTGCTGCAACCTGTGATGTAACCATTGCATAGACTTGAAGGTCAGAGCTGTGGCATGTACTCTGATCATTGTATAACTCAAGAACATTAATATTCCAGACAGTATAAACACATATAAATAAATAAAGATATATTTCTATTAATATGTCAAACCATGCCACCTCCAAACATGATACAGGAGTAAAGCCCCTTGAGGCCCCTGTTACTTACAGTGTCAGTGACTCTATTGCCCCCTGTTGCCCCAATTGAAGAGTAATAGAAGATAAATTGACACTGGGCCCAATTTCATCTTTACTTGAAGGCTGATCTGCTGCTGTTTAGAGTGCTGCCCTAACCTATCTGTTAGCCCTAATGGAGCCCGATATATAGATAAGTGTGTCTTGCCACGAAAATCAATATCGATGTGGCCCCTGATGGTTTTTGAGTTAAAGTGCTTTGTTTTCTGCCATTGCCTCGAAACAAAGAGGCCGTGGGTCCTTCTATTAACAATCCTCAGTCAACCTTGAGACAGAGCTGCGGACAGAGATGGAGGTAGAAATAGAAATAGACAGATGGAGTGGTGGTGGTGGTGGTGGAGGGTGGCAGCATTGGTACCAACATCACTAGAGCGTTAGATTTGGTGGAGGATAAAAAAAAAAAAAGCGTCATCAATGGAGCACAGACGAGCTTCAAAGAAGAGCGATGAGGTGTAGAAGGACAGAGACGGTCTATGAATGGCCAAAATAATCTTTCAGTTCTAAGAAAATGAATGATGTCATTAGAGAAGTGTATTTTGCAAAGGAAAGTGGACGGCAAAGGAGGGCTGCGAAACTTTGGTCGTGGTGATATGTTTACCTGTTGAATGCAGTTATTAACGCAGCACATTTATTGTAAATACACTTTTATTGATAAAATAAAAAACAAGCTTCATCTCGCAAGTTTCTGATTCCAGTTATAGCCCAACTGTGCTGAAAATAACCCATAACCAGAGTTGAGTATTGTGTGAATAAAAATCAGTGTTTTGCTTGTTTCTCGAAGGATTTGGACCCTTCCACTGCAAATATGGTAAAAGGAAATCAATTGGAAGGTGCCCTCCCTTTTCTAGACTACACAGTCCATTTCAGTTGATCAGTCAGCAATCAGTCAGCACCCCACTTCAGTTTATCCTCATCTTATCGTTTAAAGCATAAATGCCAGTGGAACTCTGGCGAAGGTAAACATAGATCTGGAAAAATAAAGCATAACATTTGCAGAAACAAATCCCAGTTTTTGGGGAATTTAGTTGTTATGGTTGGTGAAATGTTATCATGGCAATACACTGCATGCTATGATGTATTTTCTGTTTGTTCTGTTTACATATCACTTGATTTGACTTGGTTGGCAAGATCGACAACAAACCTTTGACTCATTTTGAATTAACTTTTGCTACTTTGTTGCTCAGATCTGAAAGATTCAGTCGTCACCAAGTCTGCTGCGCTGTCAAAGCACCTCCTTGAAGGTCAAAATACAGCTGAAAATAAAACCTCTTTCATGTTACCATTGAAAATATATAACAAATAGAAGAGTACATTTCCAAACAACAACAAAAAAGTGTCCCTTTACTATAGCACAAGTAAATAATTACTGTTCAGTTTTTTGCTCCCATAGAATCACCTAAATCAAAGAAAGCTAAGGATGTCCAGGTATTTGACAAATAGATTGTAAACAGAGCTGCAGTGATGAATGGAATAATCAGTTAATCGATTAGTTGTCAATTAACTTGATAATTATTTATTAAATTTGAATATTTTCTCCTTTATGATAGTAAACAGAATTTCTTTCAGTTGAAGAACATGTTCGAGGACGTCGTCTTTTAGAAGCACTGATCAGATACATTTGATGCACAGTTAAATACATTAAAACATCCCAGAAAATCGCCAGTGGTGTCCAACTTTTCTTAGTTAATAACCACATCCTGAGCAAAGTAGATTTCAGTGGCTAGAGCATGGCAACAACAGAAATGTAAGTTCTAGGCAAACTTGTTCTAGGAGGGCCAATAGCAACGTAGTGGCAAGCACTGGTGATTCTTCAGGTTCTCTTCAAAAGCAAGCAGTGAAAATGGTGCTTCTTCTCTGTTCACCTTGAGTATATGTGCATTTGAGCATAAGTGAGCTTTGATAATATAGCATGTGATAATATACATCTGTTCTATAAGTTTGTAGGAAAGGCTGTACATGTGTGTGTTTTTTAAACATTTTGTTGTCAGCTGCTGTTCAGTAATTAGCACCAGTTTATCTCAGACCATACAATATGTGACTTTTAGTGTAGGATGAGACTTTCTTATTTTGGTACACTACAGTCATAAAAGTCGATGTTTTATCCATGAACTCCTAAAGGTTTTCCACCCAACACGTTTTGACAGCACACTGATTGTTGTCTATCAGCTGGAATGTGCTGACAGGATTAGCCTTGAAAATTAGGCAAACGCTGTATGAATTTTGTTAAACATGTACAATATGAATCTCTCCCGAGACATTTTAATTTGATGCATGATCAGAACCTGTGAATTCTCTGCTCACACTGTTTGTGACAGTCGACCAGCCACCATGTGGAGGTGAACACAGTCTCCTTCTATTTAAATAAGACGGCCTCACTGTTGACTGACTTGTGTGGTTTTGAAGTTAAAACTGCACTGCAGGCTTTAAAAGTTAATTTAAGATGTTGATGAATATGTTGCGTTTGCCTTCATGGACATTTTCTGTTCTATTTAGTTCATGCTTTAGAGTAAACACAGAGTCTGTGTGCAGTATTTGAGTGGTTTGACTGTTTTTGATTTAACTCAGTTGTTTCTCCTCTGTACCACGAACATGCCAAGCAGTGACTACAAGACAGAAACATGAAGTCATTCATGTGTACTGTCAGACCCCAAGTAAATAATATAAAAAGAGTTCCTCTCAAAATCCTGCATTTTGTAAGATGGTATAAAATTCAAAATATAGCTCCATCATACTCAGCGCATATTGGGAAATTGTAATTTGAATTGATGTTTTAGGAGAGAGATCGCAGTTTTCTATTCTTACAATGCACTAAAGTTTGCATGTTAACTATACTGTCTGTTTCTTCTACCAAATACCTGACAAAATATTGTTGGATGTTGCAGTAGTGTACAGTAAACTAAAGGGCTGCGTTGGTGTTTCCATTGAGTTAGGAAGAAGTCGCCTCTGGGCTTGGAGTCTGGGGACGCGATGTTGCTTTGAAAGACGAACTAGTGTATGATCTTGACAGTGATGGACTTGAGTGATGGGCAGTGGGTTGTGTGGTCTCCATGGCAACAGCGGACACCATGGAGCATTCGTACCCTCTGTTGTGTTTGGACAGCATCTCTGAGTCTTCAGACACAGGGCCGGTGCCTAGAAAATAAATAAATACGAATCTGAATGTAGCAGTAAGAATAAAAATAAGCATAAAAACTCAATTCCATGCTACTCGTACAGATGTATTCTATTTGTAGGCAGGAAAAAAGGAGCAAGTTAAGTTTCAGGTACCTGTTTCTGAAGAGCAGGATGGACACACAGCTCTCCTGGGACAGCCCATGGCAGGGATGACCTTCCCTTCCACACCATTCTCCACCACCATGTAGAACTGCAGATTCACATAGTAGCTTATTGAGGCTAGGGCTCATAGGACATCAAGAATGTATATTTTTAGAGCTTTGAAATCTTTTAAGAAATCTTGTCATGGTGTCTTTAAACAACCAAGTAAGCCTACATGATAGAAGCTTTAGTAGTTTTGCTTTTTTACTTTTTTTTTTGTATTGTCTGCAATATTTATGAGTTTAGTGTCATTTAACTTAACCCCATAAAAAAATGTTACCAGTTATCAAAGCCCCAAACTGTAAAAACAGATTTTCAGATTTTCAACTTCCTGATGGTTCTACTCAAATCTTAACCAAAACGAAGCTTAAGATTGTGATAATTCAGAAACAAAATTACTTTTTTTATGTCTCATTTTAAAAAAATGCCAAAAATATGCTGTGATTTTTACCCGATTTTGTTAAAAAACAAAACAAAACAAACAAAACCATAAAAAATAAAATGCAGCTTTGTGCACCTGTGACACCATCAGCTGTGACCAACAGTCATGTGACATGTAGTGACTGTTTTGCTCAACAGGGCAGAACTGCAGGGTATTTTTATGCAGAATAGGTAACTGATGAGTATGGAAATACATTTCTAAATGTAAGGAATAAAATATCTGTAGCATTCAGAGTCATCATTCTTTTTCAAGTATCGGTGTCACCTGTGCCACTTTTTGTACCGTAAACCATCAGAGAAATCGGACTTTAGTTTTTTTTCTTTAAACTTTTTGGTTCCATTCATGATTGTACTGTTTCCATAAAGGTTAGGAACTTAATATTACAGTAAAAAAAAAGAGCCCACAATGAGTAATAATCCATTTATATCTTAAAGAAGGCTGACATGTAACTCTACACCGTTGCCTCCTTTTAGAATGTGCAGATCTGGAAAGTCTCTACCTCTGTTGCAGCTTGAGCACACCAGCTCTCCTCAGACTCTGCTCAACCCTGTAAGACTACTTTAAGCTACACGATTGCTACATAGGACTAATTCAGCAATACATGCTTGAACCAGAAACCAATCTTGAAGTAGAATAATGATTCCCACCCTGCATGTTGACAGAACTGGTTCCTTAAAGTTGTTGCATATCAAACTCTAGCTGTCTGAATCTGTGTTTTGGGGCCATCTGGAGTTGTTAGTACGCTACAGTTTCGAGGCAGAATTGCTCAGCCGTGGTGTTGACTGCTTATTTGGCTCATTCTAATGCCTTCTAGCACATAAAACCACTAAATGGGCATGCTAACAAGACTGAAAGCGTGATTTTCATCAGTGGGGGAGATGTATTTATAGTCTTACCCGAGGAACACTGGTAGTGATGGTCTCTGACGTGCTCTCATCTGTCACGCTGGTCTCACTCACATTATCCACCGAGGGCTGTTTGTGGAGGATTCTTCTAGTTCTGCAAAGTAAACGTAAACCCACACAGGTTATGCAAATTGAGATCATTTCTAGGGGTTGTATTCACAGAAATCAGTGTGTAAAAGGTCAAGAACCCACACAGCATTTATATCACATGGTATAGAAGGAAGTTGTGAATTTGAATTTAGGAGGAAAATATCAAACTGTCCTGATTCTGTATTTTCATTTCACAATATAATTTATCACTGCATGACTGCCTACACACACAGTTACAAATTAACATACAGTAGTCGTGTTGTATAGATGACTGTAGCAGATTCAATGGATGTCTTAATGCCTGAGCTCCCTGCATATTGGACTCCTTCCAACCTAATTGTTGACACCTCTAGATTTAGTTATATATGTGACTAAAGGCTGTGTGTGCATCTCTATATTTACTTTATATGTTTATATGTTAGAACTAAAAGAGACAGCATGAGAAACAGGTTGTCATTTTTTATTTTTTTTGCCTGTATTACTATGTACTATGTGATTCTTCACTGTGTGTGTGTGTGTGTTGCAGGAGACACTAAAGCGACAAACTCAAAAACTGCACAAGTACACTTGCAGTCAAGTGCAGAAGGCAATTTGAGGCAGAGCTATTGGTGGCCATGTAGCGTTTCCACTGGGGTCATACCTCACCAGCTCCATTTTGTAGCTGAGAAATGACCTATTTTTATGTGTAATTGCTGTAGAACAAGCTAAACCAACCATGTAATTGAAAGCGTGCCACTTCCACAGGGGAACCTAGAGTGCAAACGTTGGGAATGTAGCAGGCTGAGGGGAGGGGTGTGCTTTGTAAGTCAAAAGAGTGGAGAATGCCAACAGCCTTGTCCGTAAGCCAGCGAAACAACCGTAAAACAAATTAGCTACTTAGAGACATCTCAGGTGGAAATAACAGGGAGGAGGGGCCACAGTGTGTAGTTGAGGTATGCTCTTCACTCAGCTAACCAGGGTAGCATGCTGACATTTGTTCCATGTGTGATCTGCTCCCCGACCTCCCGCTGTCGTGCCGAGACACCTACATTACACGGCTCATGCCACCACGGCTTTGATAGACACCTCTAAATGCTGTCAGCTCATTCATTACTGGAGCAGCTCGTCCCTGGCTGTCTGTGCAAGTGTACGCTTCCAGTATTCAGAAGACTGAACACGACACTCCTGATATTATACATCATCACTGCAGAGCTTCCACCAGCACACACAGTGAAATATGTGCGGGTATGCATATGTGAGCTTCACCTAGATTTATTTTTAACCATTAGGGTGGCAAAGCCCAAGAAAAACCTGTTAAGACCATTACCTGACCCTTGTGTTTGTCATTTTCATAAAACTTATGAAGTTATTTATGTGATTACAGTTAGTTTGGGTGTATTATTGTCTCACAATATCCAAAGACTATTAGTTTTCTCACACTACGTTTTAGGGATGAGCAATTAACCTAACGTAAAAGGTAGTTTTAAGTATCCTGTACTTTCCTTGAGCCTTTCACAACAAACGGGACATAATATTCTTGATTAATTTGATTTCCCTACTTCTTCCTTCTTTTCTTTTTACCCTTTGTCCCTCCTGTAATCTTTGGGATGTTTCTCTTCTTTTTTCCCCCCCCTTTTCTTCCAACCTTCTCTTTCGTTTTGACCTTTCTTTCCTTTCCTAAGCTTTCTTTCCCCCAAAGTATTGCCCTTCATGCTTTTTTTCTTTTTCCTCTCATCACACCCCTTTTGTTTTCCCATTTTGGCTAATAGGTTTTATATGCCTTGGCCCACATTTACCACTCCTCCTCCTCCTCCTCCTCCTCTTTCTTGCTCACCCATAGCAGTAGGTGACACAGGCAGTGATGGAGAGCAGGGAAACGAGGACCACCATGCAGGCCGCAATGACTACGTTCCTCCTCTTCTCCTTTTCCGCCCGCTGAAGCTCCAACCATTCCAGGTCACTGAACTGACAGCGCTCCCCCATGTAGCCTGATACACAACTGTAGCAGGTAAAACAAAAACAGGATGATTTAATATTTAATGTACAGAATAAAAGAAGAATATGTAGTGTTTAACTGTGATGCTGAAGTTTACCCCAGTTATTTTAGAAATGAAATATTCTGGTTTGTCACCAGTTTGTTTTCAATGTCTTACCTCTACAGGAATAGTAAGGAAAAGGTGTGAACGTCATAACCAGAATCCAGCATTAACCAAATGAATGTATAGAGTTGTATGTAGAAGGATAATTCAACATTTATTTATTTACAAACTGATTAAAAAATTTAAAAATGAATAAAAGTAGGAAAGGCTAAAAAGAGGCTTGTTTTTACAACAAGCTGAGGCTTTTAGAAAGGCCCTCACAGTCCCCTGAACTGAACGTCATTTCAAAACACTGGGAAAATGGGAAGGACAACCTGAGCCTGCCAGTCCAGAGGCACTGTTCCTGACTTTAATGTGACATTTAAGAGATCAGCCAACCCAGCCCACAAACGTCCAGAGCTTTCAGCATCTTGGGGCAAATCTCATCCAGACCTGGTGTCTCAGCCTTCTTTACTAACTCCAGGACTTCAAGGAATGTGATAGATACGGGTGAGGCTTCCCCCAGGATTTTAAACTCAGCCTCCTCCATAAACAACATGTACATCAAGTTCAAAAATAGTGCATGCAGAGTATTAAATATTAAACAGAGTTTTGAATGCTGCGGAGGAAAAAATATGCATCATCCAAAATTATATATTCAAACTAGAGAAATGAGCTCGGCTTTTACAGCATGCATTAGAATTCAAGTTGGCATTCATGAAATCTTGCTGTTCAATAGATATGAAAGTTTGAACCTCCTCTTCCTTCGCCACTTTGTCAGGAGGTGAAGGCTTTAATCATAGAACAATAGTGACACCTGCTGCTTGTCAGCTGTGATAAATGACATAGGAGACAGCTGAGGCTTCTGTTAAATTACTTCCTTTGCAAGTTTTATGCATGATGTGTTTAGAAAATAAAAGCTGGCTTCCTACATGTCACTTAAATATTCAGAAAAGTGTGAATAACTGCATATTTCAAAATGTATGTCGACATTATGAACTGTCTTCTGGACACAAGATGTCAGTACACAGTTTGACTTGGGTCAAATGGAAGGACTAGATAAGAGGTTTTACTTACTTGCAAGCATAGGACCTCATTTCCGGAAAGTAGAAGCATACACCCTGGTACAAACAGTATGTCTCATGGGAGGAGGGACAACTCTGGGCTTTGTTGCTGTTGTGGTGTCGGGTGGTAACATCGACAGGGGTCAAAGGCGTTACCCATGGTGATGTGGTCTCCAACTCTTAAGATGATCAGGGACACGATTTCATAAATTAGACAAATATTCACAATTACACTGTTGTATAGCTATAATTATAGTCTGCTCTTCACAAAACACTGTATTCCATCTATGATTCAAGGAATAATCTTTCATTGTACATAAGGATTTAGGTCTTCAGTTAAAAAATAAACAAAAAACAACTACAAAAATACAAGTGAAAAAGATGACAATGAAAAAAATGTCGTAGTAAACGATCAGGACTCACCTTGACATGTCTGCCCATTTCCGTAGTATCCAGCCTGACACTTGCAGAGAAACGTCCCCGCAGTGTTTTGGCATTCTGCGTTTTTGTCACAGTTGTGCATTCCCAGTTTGCACTCATCGACATCTAGCACAAAAGGAAAAGAGGAAATGATCAAAAATTTTCCCAGAGCACAGAATCATCAGTTTTTGTATTAACATTCTCATTATCATCTCATTAATTACCAGCTCAGGAATGTAGCATTACGGTCATTTTGGCATGTTACAATTTCTCGGCCTGCACTTTTCTGATACGCTGAAGACGCTGGTTTGTTAACACATTATGACCCATCGGTGTTGCTCACTATACAAATGAGCTCGGCAAACGCTTATACTGGTCTGCAAGGAAATGATAATGTGAACTGTTGGACGAGTTACTTTTTCCGACTTTCCATTTTTCAACATTTTGGTTTAAGTTTTTCTCATTAATGTTTATCTTAAATATTACTTTACTTTCAGAGCAGCTCTGCCTCTGAGAAATGTTTTTAAAATGCCGTTCTGCGTCCCAGTGATTAAACCCCTGCTAGTGTGAGATAAAAAAAAAAGTCCCCTGTACCCAATGTAATCCCATAAGCTTACTTCAGGGTATGTTACTTTGTCTGTCTAAAGCACATTCATAGCACAGTGGAAATAATACTCACCTGCACATAACTGTCCATCACCTGTGAAACCTTCCAGACATAAACAGTTGGGGCTGCCGGCATTTAGCAGGCACTGTGCATTCACATCACAGCGGAGCGAGTAGCACTCATTCTGGTCTGACAGAGAAGGGCACACGTGGAAACAAAACATTTAGTTAGGGTAAGATATTGAATGGAAAGAAATGCAAATATTTTGCTTGTTAAGTTGCGCCGTTACCTGAAATCATCTTATCCGTGAAGAGAGTTGGCCCAGTGCCTGCATCAGAGTGGAAATCTGCCTCATCAGATGACAGCCCAGGTGTTGTTGTTCGTGGTGTGCCTGCATCATTAAATGTTTTGTTTTTCAGAGATTTTAAACCGCTGTCTCCAGATTCTATACAATTGATGCATGAAGTTCGCACATCATCATTTATTTTTACTTCAGTGTTTATATATGTAGAAGTGTTTGCACCCGAAGCAGCATACGTCACCTGTTGGTCCATTTGAAGTGTTGGCAGGTAAGCAGCTTCTTCCATCAGGTGATAGGATGTAGTTTGGCAGACAGGAGCAGTGTGCGAATCCCAGTTTGCTTTCACACACCTGAGCGCAGCCTCCGTTCAGATGAAGACAGACATTTGCACCTGAAGATGAAGGTGCAGATGTAACAAAGAGGAACTCGTTAATCCGTACGTGTTGGTGTATTCTATGTGAGACTTGTTCTTTTCATTGGCCTGTATTCGCAACACGCTGTGTACATCTACAGTACATACTAAAGTTAGATTTATGAACTTGGGTTTATTTATGTTTGCACAAGCTGACAAAAAAAAGCGATAACACTGTAGAGATGTTTAACACAGAGCTCATTATAATCTAACACTCAGTATTGTCTGTTGATGTAAGTGTACAAGCTTCTCAGAATCTATTGTTTTTAAGTTATTCTCTTGTTTTTACCGTGAAGCACGTTGCTCACCCTTTCGGCTGTTGTAAAGGGCTGTATAAATAAACTTTGATTGAGTGAGTGATTGTTGTCCCCCTGTACCTGGTTTAGCAAGGGGATGAGCCACCACGATGGATGCCGGTTGGACCATGCTGCCATGGATCCGTTGCAGTTTTTTCCCAGTCCGCTTGTGTACACTCCTCAGCTGCTGGTGCTCCTGATCAGAGATCCAGAGCCTGTCTTCAAACACTGCGAGGTCAAAAGGTCGACCTGGAACAAGCAGAATAGAGGACGAGAAGATTCCAGGTGAGAGATGCTTGTCTTTAACTGTAAAAACAACTAGAACATTTCTGAAGACATTTTGAGTGTGCCAGTGCAGCTTCTGGTATGTCCTGTTATATTTATAAATAAGGTATAATTTATATAAGTATTTTTTTTTTTTTTGAAAAGCCAGCATATGTCACAAACACTGATCAGTTCCTTTTAACATCTCTGAGCTTTTACTTTCAAAGTGTAGCACGTTTCACAGAAGCCTGGTGACTAATTGTAACTACAAGTGTTTTTTCTTTTCTTTCTCGTTTTTTTTTTTTTTAAACAAATGTTCAATCCAGGCTACAATAGAGCTTCTCACTGAGCTCTGTTACTGGGTATGGATGCTTTTTTGAAAGAAAACCCAAGCATACAGATGGCTTGTCCATCAATAAGTGTGTGAGAAAGACAGAAAGAAGGACTGTTTGTTACACTCGTTTGAACATCAGGGAGATTTTGTTTTTAAAGTCTCGCACAGGGGGAAGCCATGAGGCGTCATGTTTATTTTGAAAAGCCAGCATATTTCAGAGTCCCTTTTAAGTCTTTTGTGACATTTCAGAACATTTGTTCTTGTAGTGTGGTGTAGCTCAATGAATCCTGTTAACTTTTTTTTTTTTTTTTAGCTATCTAGGAGCTTTTACTTTGAACAGACCACATACGTGAACTTCCTTCCCTTAGCCTTGTTAGAGTCTTGTTCCTTTTTTTTTTTTTTTTTTTGAACAGACCACATACGTGAACTTCCTTCCCTTAGCCTTGTTAGAGTCTTGTTCCTTTTTTTTTTTTTTTTTTAAGATATTTTTTGGGCTTTTCTGCCTTTCTTGTATAGGACAGTGAAAGACTGACAGAGAAACTTGGGGAGAAGAGTGGGGAAAGGACATGCAGTAAATAAGCCGCTGGCTGGACTCAAACCGTGGCCGCTGCGTCGGGGACCATAGCCCCTGTACATACAACAACAACATGCAGCTGCTATAGATCCTTAAACCGCTGTTACCTGGGAGACACTCGGATTTTTGCATCTGTATCTTTCACACAAACCTCACCTACTTGGTTCTCTAACAGGACCCGTCGATCTGAACCATCCAGGGCAGCAGTCTCTACCAGGCCCCTCCTGTGGTCGCACCAGAACAGACGATCCTCTGTGAAATCGATGGTCAGGCCAGTGGGTGACACAAGGTTGGTGCTCGCAATGACAGCGCGCTCACTTCCTTCCAAAGAGGCACACTCCACCACAGGCCGAGAGCCTATGTCAGTCCAGAATAACTTCCTCAAAACGTAAAAAAAAACACAAATATATCAGCCATATCCTAATGTATTGTACAGTATGATTTTACCTCTTTTAACTCTATTGAACTCTATTTTAGTTTTCAATGCATATAGGATGTTTTGTGTTGAAAAAGTAATGAACTGTAAGTGAAGTCATTAGAAAGAGGTCTCTTGGTGATGATCTTTTTTTCTTGTTGTTAAGCTACTGAATGAAGGCTGGGGGAATGTTCAGGAGTTTAGGAGTGCTGTAAGATAGCTGTATACTGATCTTGTCAGTGTAAATCATGACGAGATGCTCCTGGCACACTAAGGAGCTCCTTTGTTTGAGAATGGTCTCATGCATGGCAAACGTACTTCATCAAATTTGCTCTTTGGTGACAGTGAATGGGCTGTATACAGTTTCAGGTTATAGCAGTTCTGGATTTTGAATATGCAAAATTACACTTAGCCGTGTTATTTGTGTGAAATAAGAACAACAAAACAAACCCCCAAAAACACATCGGCAAGCGGCCATACTCACTTTGCCAGAGGATGAACTGCAATTCCTCTCGGTTTTTCTAGCCTTTTGCTCACAATAGTTTCTTTGTGCAGTCCGTCTAATGCGCTGCGGTCAACAGTTGACCGGCTGGAGGAGAAAAGTACACAAGAAGGTAAGACAGAAAACAAACTCTGTCAATTGTGATTTAGTTCAGCACTGGCAAAGCCCATCTCTAAAAATTGACTCCTACAATTGCCAATTAAATATTCTAGTGGATTTGATTGAGGCTAAATAAAAATAGAAGATTAACAATGTCTTATATGACCTTAATATTAGAAACTAGACCGAGTATTAGATAGAAGTAGAACAGCAAATGTCTGGGAAAGAAATGGTCATGTGGAAAGATAGAATTTTCAGTACTCAACATTCACTCTCTGCAAACCTCACACACCTTTTATCTGTCCAGTACATCTTGCGGTGGACCCAGTCTACTGCCAGTCCTTCTGGGGAGTCCAAACCATCCGAGACAAGAACCTCTCTTAGACTGTTGTTCAGATCAACTCGCTCAATTCTCTTCTGGCTTGTACTAGCAAAGTACACCTTCAGTTGCATACATAATACAAAAAAAGAAATAGATTTGTTATATGAAATAGACTAATAATAAAACATACAGATCATCATCTAAATAGACAAAACCAAAGACTTTATGAAGAAGAAAAATCAAATGAATAAACCAACAAATCACATTGCCTGTCCACTAGGTGTCACTGCATGTCTGAAGCAAAAACCTCGCTCCAGCCTAAAACCTGTTCGCTGTTGCAGTCATGAGACGATGGCACATACATACAAAAAATCTGAAACAAAACAGCAACAAAAGATGAAAGAGCTTTTCATCTTACACTGTTCTGAACGGGATCATAGTCCAAAGCTAAGATTGTCCCTCTGGGCTCCTCCACCAACGTTTGATCCCCGGTGCCATCAGGGTTAATTCTTCGTACGTCTACTAGATTGGCAACTAGCAGATAGGGTGGAGGTCCTAAGGATGAAAATACAAGATTTCATGTTCCAGTCTACTACAGTAGATGTTGCCTTGTGTGTTTTTAGTGTTTTCCTGCTTTGCTTCTTTTGGAACCAGAATATAGGCAGTGAGATTTATGTGTGTGGGCTCGCCTGCCTCTGTTGTCTGCTTTGCCACCGTATGACTCACCGGATGCAATGCAGCGTTTGCCATCTTGGTGGAGCTGGTAGCCAGGCAGACAGTCACATTGCCACCTACTAGGAGTGACAGGAGTGCAGAGCTGACTGCAACCCCCTCTGTCTGTAGATGAGCAGCCTGCAAATGCCCAAAACAGCGTTAACACATATTTGCTTCTGTTTGTCAGCCTCCACTTTCTGACACGACTCCTGCTTAGTTCATCTATATGACACATGGATTAAGCAGATGAGAATGATTTAATGATCGTGACAGTCAGTTTTACTCCAATTTTATTTACTTTCCCCCTTCATTGGTCAACACTTAACTTTGCCTTGCTTTGTCTCCCCTAACTTTTACCTAAATCTTTTTGTGGGGTAGTGAAAGGGGAGTTCTGATGCTAAAATGAGACCAACTGGCCCAGCATATTGTCCACTATGTCACAGTAGGACATCACTGGGATATGATCAGAAATGAATTAAAAAACATTATTGAAATAATAATAATAAAGTAAAAAATCATCATAGAAAAAGGGCGTAAAGCAAACCGACCTGGTTTTTGCACTGTTGTACTTTGTGGATTTGTATAATATTGGCTAGAAATTATATAGTAGCTACTATATTTAGTGTTTTGCTCATTTTCTTTTATTAAAATGAACAAAGGTTGTTGTTGCACAGACCGTTTTCTACACTTGTGCATTTGTAAAAACTTCAATGTCAAATGGCAGTTTAGTTTTTTGAGATTTTAAATATAAAGCAGATATTGGTTTTGGAAAATGAGGCTGAATGCTGTAACACAGTCCATACCAGTGCAAGCCTGTCCATCCTCCTGCAGTATAGATCCCTCGGGGCAAACACAGACGGTACCATTTTCTGTTGCCAGGCATCCATGGCCACACTTTGTCATATTGCCTTCACATGGTATGATCTCTGTAAAAAAAAAAGTTAATCTTTTGCAATATAATAATAATGGATAAAATGTGATAGTTTTGGAAAAATGAATCTTTGAAACACATGAAAGATTTATTGCACTGCAATGCAAACTGATGCAGTGTTTCATATTGTACCATTGTCCATTAGGTGCCATACAAACAAACTCAGAGCAATGCTCCACGTTCAAGATTGTTCCAGGGCTATTTTGGGGCCCAGCAGGTAGTAGATGAGCAAGAAAGACAACAAGCTTCTTAGGCCCTGCTTTGTTAAAATCCTTTTATGAAGTCAGTCGTAATCCAATCAAAATAGTTGAAAGTGTGATGGGAATGCAGTCAAAGCCCACACAGTGAGGATGATACAATGTTGGCTCACAGGAGTGTGGGATCTTCTGTACCTGTGAATATGGGCCAGGTACAGTATATAGAGGCAGGCCGTGCACATATGAATCTGATGTGAAATAGTTACAGAATCTGCTGCTGTGCACCTGACAGTTAGCTGCTTTGTACTGCGAACGGGGTAAAATTCAGCTTTTTGGCAGCCTTTCATGGCGCCCTTCATTAGGCCTAAACTGTGGCATGTCACCAACTAGCTTCTGTATGTTGAACATTAATTGACAAAGACCTCATTAGTGAATATGCAGTAGAATTAGAGTATATGGAAATAAATTCAGTAGGAACAACATGCCATAAACAATATCCTGGCTCTACTTTAAAAATCAACATAGACCCAGATGGTGAAACTGCAGTTTTTAAATGTGTTCATGTATTTTTATTTAGCCCAGTTATCTTCCATGTAATCTCTGTTGTCGTCTGCATCGCCAAGCCTGCTACTTGGCTGTTTGTTTTCTAAAGGTTGTCTGCTAACCAGCTTAGACCGTCAAAGCTGCTGACCAGTTATGTTCCCAGTTGCAAATGTCACCTCATCATCTAATCTCATTGTGTCTGTCAAGCTTTATTGTTGTGTATGGCTGTGCGATTAGAAGAGAAGAGATTAGGATGCATCTGTAGTGTGTTTTACAGTGTTTGAGGATAGTCATTGTTCTGACACTGGATGGCAAAAACAACAACCATAAATAATAAACAAAACAAAAAAAAAAAGCATCAGTAAATCCTCACAAAATGCATTGAGTTTACTAGTTTATTGAACTAAATAAAGACTTTCCATACATTACCTCATGACTGCAATGCATATGTTTCTGTCAGAATACTAGATTGTCTTAGTTACTAAAAAAGCATCTATTGTTATGGTGGCAGACAACAGACCTGCATTATGGCAGATAGGAATGACTATACATAGCTGTAGAGGAGGTAGAAAAGCTGTCTGGAATATTTAGCATAGCATTTTTGAGCATGTTTTGGAAACTCGTGGCTGTCTTGACTTTTCAGAGGTCAGCAAACCAATGGAGTTCTCTAATCCTAAAAAAGAAATAGTTAAAAATAACATTAGCTTTAGTTTGATATCTGTGCTTGGATCTACCTTACACAGCCTCATTCTCAGTGCTGTTAGTGTGACAAAATGTCAGCGTTTTGACCTAAGTAACCTAACACACAATCGGCAGCTCACATATTTCTAGTCTGTCTGGACGCCTGTGACCCAGCCTTTTTATAGGTTTTCTGGGGTCAAAGTAGTGTCTGGTGGACAAATGCCACCTTTCATAGCACCACAAAGAGGAGCTAATCTGAAACCAGAGCTACGTTCATTGGGCTGACCAAAACAACTCTTTAAAAATAAAACCTGACCCAGAACATCCTGTATGTAACGAAACTGACACGTGATCTAATTGAATAGTAATGAATAATAATTCTTGCTATCAAATGATTCAACCTGTTTTATTGATTATATTGATAACCACGTGTTTGCAATTTTTAGAACGCCATTAGTGGATAGTTTACCTTTCTACCAAAGCACGGTTAGCAGCTTAATTTAGGTAATTTAATTATATATATCATGTGAGTTATTCTGCTCCTAATACCATGAATAGAAGAGAAATGATCTATATGATCGATCTAATGATAAAGGTATGTTTATACTGTACCTCGGCATGTCTTCCTGTCCGATAGGAGGGCATATCCTGTAGGGCAGGTACAGAAATAGGAGCCTGGGATGTTTTCACAACCAAGAGAGCAGCCATGGTTCCAATGGGCGCATTCGTTCACATCTGTGGCACACACAGACAAATAGAACAACATGACCTTTGTGTGCTTTTTAAGTAGATTCTGTCATTTAATGGGCATGCCATACTTAATTTTCATTTTGTTCTATGTGTGGCCCCTCTATAAGAGTCTATTACATATTTGCAGGAGATAAGGCATTCCAACTTTAGTCATGTGCAGTCAGTGCTGTGGCTTTTTACTAGAGATCACTTCAGTCAAACAGCAGAGTCAGTGTTGTAATATCTTTTTCTTGTGTTTTTCTAAAATCCCTAAAATAATGGCATGTTCTTTCACATTCATTTTTTACTTTTATGTAATAGATAGGGGCTGCAAGGTAGGGCAGTAGTTAGCACTGTCGCCTCGCAGCAAGAACGTTCGCGTCCCGGTGAGGACGAGCAGGATCTTTCTGTGTGGAGTTTGCATGTTCTCCCCGTGCAACGTGGGTTTCTTCGGCTTCCTCCCACAAGTCCAAAAAACATGTTGAGGTTAATTGGTGATTCTAAATTGTCCTTAGGTGTGAATGTGAGTGTGCTTGGTTGTCTGTCTCTAAGTGTAGCCCTGTGATAGACTGGTGACCTGTGCAGGTCCTGCCTTCGCCCTAAGCCAGCTGGGATAGGCTCCACCCCTAGTGAGGAGTATTAAGCGGTGTATAGATAATGGATGGATAGATGGATATTATAGATACCAACCTTCGCAATAAGTGCCTTGCTTACTGAGAGCAAAACCTTCACTGCACTGGCAGACCCCTTGCTCCGCTAGACTGGAGCACACGTTTACACAGTTGCCACTTTGTTCATCACAACCTGTTTGAAATGATCGGCAGCGGTAAATACATTGTTACAACACCTTCACCGAATTGCGTGTAAACAGTAAGTACAAGTCAGTTGTGGGGAACAGAGAGTGAAATTTAAATGTCAAAGTTGTAACCTGGAAATGGCGATGAGGAGTCTGCCATTGGCTGGTTGAGAGGATGTACCACCTTGATATCAACAGGAGGTTTTGACATTTGTTTGATGTTAACATCCAGTGGCTCTCCACCAGTGTACTTGTTTACTGTCTTAATAACCCGAGATGCAGCATCGGTGTAGTATAGGTGCTCCAGAAAAACTGATATTCCAAGTGACTGAGAACTGATAAAAAAGAGACAAAAACAATTAAAGGGTCATAGAAATAATGGCAGTGTCTTCATGTTGCTATTTTCAGCACTTAGAGAAGAGTTTAAGTCCACACCCCAGTGTCGTCACATTAATGTTTTCTTGTAGGAGACTCAGTAAAAAAGTGAAAAGGTGCGTAGCGACATGAAATACGACAGCATGCTCACCGAAGTGGCTGATCCATGATGTGAAGAACATTCCCATTGTAATTGCAAGAGCCAATGGCGCTTTCTCCTTGCAGACCGAACTGAACCCAGAACAGTCTTTTGTCCTCTCGGTCAATCGACAGCGCTTGCAGTTGTTCCGTTATCTTAATTAGTGTAATTTTCATCTGTCCTGTCACATCAGACCGTTGGATACTTGGAGTCATTCCACCAGACAGCCAAAACAAAAACCTGCAAAATATTTGTGTGGAACTGAGATACGGCTTTGCAATGAAATATTTCTTTGTGTCTTTCTCTGTTTATGAAAGTGTCGTTTAAGTTAGTTGCTTCCACTAATGTCACTGTTTAGACATTTCCTCATGTAAATGAGAAGAAAAAGAAATCAGTAACCTCATAATCTTTTTTTTTTTTTTTTTTTACATTTCAGTCATATTTTAGTGATGTTTAATAAATTGTAGCATAATTGAATTGACTCCCAGCAGAAATATATGCTAATTTAAGTGAAGAAAAGTAATTTAAACATGCTTTGGGTCTTTTTTAATCATGGACAAATATTCTGAAATGTAATTATTCACTGTTGCATATCCACTGGACCACAATGCAGTGAATGTGTGAGCAATACGTGGCCTGTTAAAAAACAACTACTACTGTCTTTGATCAGAGAAATGTGGTGTGTCTTGGAGCCAGCTGGTCATTTTGCAGCTGTGTGGCAGCCATACTTGATGCAATGAGGTGAAACATTAACACAATAGTAACACACAAACGAAATAGCAAAAATCTCAACTGTTTACCTGGCTTTGCTTTTTCATTCATGTAATGTAATTTGGTCCTTCCTTTTAATCTGTCTCTCTCTCATGACAGACATATTAGTATAAAATAGAACAAATTACCTGTCAGTGGGATCAACGTTTATAGAACTTGGCTCGGTCAAGTGTCTTGAAAGAGTCCTCTCATTTTTCCCATTTATATCGATTCTTTTTATTTCCCCTTTTTCTCGACTTGTCCAATATACATTATTCCAAATCCAATCCACTGCGAGGCCTGAGATGTGTTTGTCAAACGAGTGAAGTTTCTGTAAAATAGACATTCGTGTTAAATCATTTGCAATCAAAAGCCCCAAGAGAACCCAGAACAATGCTTGATATTGAGATATGATGAAACATAAGGGTAAGATTTTAGTGGCGCACAGAGTTAAAAAAAAAAAAAGAGAGAATCAATTTTATAAATCATCCAAATAGTTTTTTACTCAACCTTAACTTCTTTACTGTTGACTGGCATGAGGTGCATAAAGTATTGAACATGTTTCGTACGAGGGGCTGGTATTCATTTGCACCCGCTAGGTTCTCTGCAACCCTGAAGCAGTTACATAATCACCTGTCTGTGTCCTTCTTTCACGGATGCTTTGTAGATGACCCCAGTCTGTTTGTCGGCCCAGTAAACTCTCCCCTCTTTGAAATGAAAGTCGAGCAGGATCGAGCTTCCCACACCGACCACAAGCCTTCTGTGGTGCTTGCCATCGAGTCCCATCCGATGAATGGATCTACCATGGCCGAATATCAGGAAGGGCTGCGAAGCTTAACAAAATCAAACATCACACACATGTAGATTCATAAATCTTTTTTAATTATTCCAAAGCCCCACATACTGTATGCAGACTTCAGTTTTCTCACTCAGTAGGGCAAAGACTCACTTGACCAATACGTAGATTTAGTGAGGTAAGGTCATAAAATGGCAAACACGAAATGGTGACAAAAGATGCTACTTTTTCTTTGGCACTAACTATTCACATTGCATGAGCTACTGGGGCTGTTGCACCAGGATTTGTCAAGATTTGACATACAAGATTAAAAATCTAAATCAAATCAAGTTTATTGTCATTTTGCTGTACATACACAGTAGTACAGGCAAGATGAAAGAGCATTTCTTCAGGATCCAATTTAAACAAAGAAGTGTTTGCATATCTGGATCAGCAGTTCAGCATTCTGACAGCTTTATTAGTAGATATTATGACTATTTGAAGAGTCTTGTTTAAACTATTACATTCTTTAACCAAAGATTTGCAGCTGGCTCTACAGCAGTGTCTTTATGAATTGATCTTCTCTATAGGCAATAGTTCATACATAAAGGTTTGATGCATTTGCTGTCTTGTACGCTTGTTCTCAGTTTGACTCAATAAATCACAGGGACAGGAAGGTAACTATGGCAGCATTTAACATTTCAATAGCTGCTGCTTCCCTCTTTGTGTCCCGCCGCTGTTGTGGTTGCATTTGTCAAATTATTTGATTAAAACGCCCATTCACGTTGAAATTCAAGGCAGCCACAGCTACTTCTGGCTAAAACATCATCCCTTAGCAACAAATTGCTTTTGCGCTACCCTTTGACTGTGACAATACTCTGCAATGAATGAATTGAGAGGCTCTAGAAGTCAGTGCATTTCACAGGTTTCGGCTTTAGGTCACAATATCACACCGAGGTTCTGCTAAACAGTTCTGAACAGCAACAATAGGGTAATTTCTGTATTTGTAAATGGGACGAGTGCTCATCCATTCCAATGTGTATGCTGTTAGATAGATGTAGCTGTTTCTCTAGATCCAAAAACACAGTCTCCCTCCAGGTTGCCATTGGCAGAAAGTCCTCAGGTCTGTCATGGTAATGACACTGTCATGTGCAACCATAGACACTGCTCTTAACTCTGTGGAATGAAGAAAACAATGTGCAGAACCAGACAAACAACATAATGAAATGTCTGGCCTGAGATCTCCAAGATGACCACTGGTGCTGAGTTGCTAGGACGCATCACGCAGGATGAATCACTAATTGACAAGTTCACAGAGTGGTCAACATGATTCTTGATTCATGATTCTGACGTCAGAGTGACACAAAACAAGTACGATTGATTCACGAGTAGGCATTTAATATGATTTACTTTGTGGTAAAATCTGATCCTGTGACTCATCTAAACATTATGGATTCATTAAAATATGGATAAAGTGTTGAACCCACAATAGAAAACGCTGCATGTTGACTTTAAGGGTTGAGGAAAATAACAATATATGTAAGGAGTGTGTAAAGAGACAAAATCTGTGAGGAAGCATTACATCATATTCTACAGTAAATGGATGTGTACGTTTATACCTTTGATATATTTGGTTGTGATGCAAATTACTGACCAGAAATGTTTAATAGCAGCACTGAATTACAATCATGTTACATTAATGTGTGGAACTGTTGTGATGATTTAATGATAATCAAGTCAGCTAAAATAGACATACCAATGAATCTGGTTATTTTATCTATAAATGAATGCTCAAAAGGCCTTTGGAAATTATGCTACACAACATGTTGAGTGTCCCATAAACAAACAAAAATAATAATAGCAATGAATGTAGGTCTGCTGACCAGAAGCATAAATGCAATCTTAGTGTGACATCTGAGATGAACACATTTTCATTAGGAACAGTGCAGTATAAGATGAAAAAGTCCCCCCTGGGGTTTCTTGTTGTTGAAGTCACAACTTGTGCTGCTTCAGGCTGCTAGATTTTCTTAAATACGTAATAGAATAGAAAAGACTTTATTGTCAAAATGATCAATATTTCTTGATAACTGTGTTACAGTTTTTCACACAAAGTTCTGGTTCCGTGACCCGTGTTCATAAGTATTCATCATTCTGGAGTGGAGGAGAAACTAAACCAACTTAAGCCTTGATTTTACTCCCCGGCGGACGCACACACTGACAGGTGCAGACATCACAGAAGCTTATTTGTTGTTATTATATGACACAAAATTTGGGCTGCACAAAAATATCCTTACAGACTCACAGTATTGGACAGATGGCAAAATAAATGTCCTGCAGAGCCCAGTGGACTCGCAGGTGTGCAAAGTTTAAGGCTGGCCTTAGAGGGGGATGTATTGTAGCTGACTGTGACCTCTGACCTCTCTGTGGTGAAGACAGAACGGTTACGGGAATTTCTTCATTTTGGCAAAAATGTCACATTATTACAGTGGATCATTAAATAACTCTTTTGCCCTGTTGAGATGAAGCTAACCTTTTGGATGTAACCTTCTGTAAGCTTGTGGCGTCCCACAAAAAACTTGTGCTCAACCTGAGATACACCCACACAAGCTCAGCCTGGCTTGCTTTAGCTTTAGTACTATAATGTAGCGTGCAGTTTGAGCTGTGAACATGTCTTGTTTTATTTTACCACAGTTTTTTGGAAAATTGTTTATTCTTTGTTAATAGCAGTAAACATCAGCCAGTAGTGGTTGTTGAAAAAAATTCTCATTGTAGTTTACATAGTTGGTGTTAATGTGGAGAGAAGAAACATTTTCTAATTGAAATTACAACATAAAGACACCAGTTTCTCTGTGTTTTGATATACTGACATAAATTACTAAAACATGTAGAAATAAAATCCTAACTTAAATAAACACAATGCTCGTTATACCCTAAGAACTTAGGGAAGTAAAGTGTATCTCCCTGTGGTCTGACACCCTGTTTGACTAAAATATACAGCCATGTATAGAGCATCATTACTTGTGGGTGCTTTTTATGGAAGTTGTTCTTATTTGCCATCCAACCTGCCTCGAGGTATCTTAAACTTTCAACACAAGTGCAAACTGTAGAAGATCTGCTATACAGATTTCCTGTTTTTTAATAATTTAAAATCTAAATCAATTTCTTTGCCAACAGTACATTTGTTGCTCTGTCTTTGCATTACATTTATAAGAAATTGTGAAGAATTACGACAAACATGGGTTAAGAACAAAGAAAACCTGCATACATTCAAGTATCCAGTAGTAAAGTATCTTCAACATTATAGTACATTATATTGGAATCAGTCAGGACTAAAGAGATGTCAGACTCACCCAGACAGCTGCTGTTCCTCCCTGCTCGTGACAGGCGCTCATCCCAACATGCTGTGCCCAGTGCCAAGGCTCCAGCGCTTTGCACCATAAAATAGATCAGTGCTGTTGTGATCGTTGCAGCCAACATAATCCTGCACTTCGTCCCCGCTGCACTTTGTTCACTTTGTCTCAGGCATTCCCACTATCAGCACTGGCACTTAAGAAAATTTCCCCAAAATCAAGCAACATTTCCTTACGGGCTGTTGGCATCCTGGTCTAAGGCTCACACCGAGTGAGACAGTGGAGCTTCACATGCCAGGAGATGTCACGCTAAAGGGAGATGCACGTCCCCACTGAAAAAGATGGAGGACTCTTGAATAAGGAGGGTAATGCTGTCAGTGCAGTGTTCAACCTCCCCCCCCAAGAAAATAAAAAAAATAAAAGTGCGTGTGGGATCCTGCTCACTCCCCACTTTGGGCCTCAAGGTTGCCAGTCTGTTTTGGAAGCAAAGATTGAAATTCCTGACACCCCCGTGGTAAATTTTGCACATGCTAGTCCAGCATTGGAGTAAGATCTTCTTGAAGCTGCAGGCAGTTTCTTATGCAGAATGTAGACGATGCAAGAGATGAGTCTGGGCTGAAAAAAGCTCCCACATAATAACATATTACCCTTACTCCCCACCCCCTGACCTGTGTGCTTTGTGAATGTGGATGGATGTGTCTGTGTGAGACAGACTTTTTGTGTCTGGGAGAAACAGACAGGAAGATGGACTTTTGCATGGAAGTCTGTTAGATAGAATCCGACAACATTTATTTATTTATTAATCGAGGGACACAATGACCCTTGGTATGTTCACATTTTTCAGTCCATTAAGCCATTTATAAATGACATACTTACAGTATAAGTAATTTCCAAATACCACACACACAATAGACAGTTTGTTTTGTGTCCTATTTGTGTGAATAGGAAGTCAGTGTGTCAGACTGTCTCCTGTTGAAGTCCATCTGGCTCCCAGAGGGAATTGGTAGAATGAGTAATTTACAGAGAACGGTGGAGGAGAGGAGCAGATTATCCCTAAATTGTTTGTCTTCTTTTTAGCCAGCAGAACAACTAACAGAGGCCAGGAACCACGGCCTCTATTCATACCCACCATGACTAGGACATTGTCAGGAGCAACGTCACCGGTAACCCTGTAGAGGAGCAGTAGAAGATTTACACTGCTGAGAAAGTAGCCTTGTCTCCACACTAACGTTAACGGTCTGAACGGCACTGACCTTTTCCCACGATTCTCACCCCCTGGCAGATAACAATGAAAATGTGTATAATTATACTTCAGGTGACTGTTGGATGGCAGTCGTGCATGGGTTTGAATCATCAGGTAGAATGCGTATCTAGGATACAACCAGAGTGCGGATTCTGCCGCTGTGTTAAATGCCACCTCACGTCATATCTCTTGGAAGACAAATACTTCCAGTTCTGAATTCCAGTTCAGTGAGTCACCTTCAATCAATTGCAATAGAGAGCATTTGGGAATGCGTAACTCATTATGAATAATGTTCAGCTGACATTTAGTAGCCGCAAAAACCCTCACTCATACTGACATTTACTAGTGCTGAAAATGTGTCTGTATATGAAACAGTTATTATTGCGATGTATTGTTTTACAAATGCATTTTGTTCACTGCAGTGAAATATAGTATATTTGCTTTAAACTCTTAAATGATGAAAACTATTGACCAGGTTGTAAGAACCGGTTGGAAATACTTGTATACTGATAAATAATATGCTGTAATTGTGTTAATTATTTGAAGAAAACCTCCATCCCACACAACAAGTGTACATCAGCAGATGCTTGACCACGGTACTTGTGATTTGAGTGAGTGCATAGTTCATGGATTGCTGATTTAAGACTTGACTGTACTGACCTAAAGAGGTTAAGTATAAATGGATAAGGATTCACATTAACCTCAGATTGAAAATAAATCAACCTTTTTAGCCTTGACAGCAGTTCAACAAGCACAAATAGACATAGGAGATATCTTTGTCTTGTCTTGTTGTTATATATTCTGCCACCACGAACATGTGGCCAATTTTCCACTGGACTGCTATAATGGCACTAGTCACGGTTGCCAGGAGATTTGTGATGCAACTGTAAAGCCTCTAGGGAAGCAAAGTATCTCACGTTCACTTGCCCTGTCTGGATTGTTTTTTTTCCAAGGACCACAGGCCAATGGCAACTATGGCAGAATTAAAGCAGCTGTCCACAGTATTTCACAGTTTCTGTATCAATCACAGTTTGACTGATCTCTTTATTGTTATCTGTTTTCCCCTCTGTATCCTCCTGGCCTCCTGAAGTTATCTATCTTGTGTATGGCTATCAATATATCTCAGTGTCCATTCATAGTTTATTTGTCATTACCGTCCCAGTCCACCATCCACTCAGTCTGTTTGTTAAACTTGCCTGGCTGTTGCTATGATAACAGCACAGGTGGCATAAGAGATTAGGTAATGCTGCAGGCTCCTACAGCTGGTTCGCACAGAGGTATCCATGGGAACAGTTTTCCAGACCCACCCATCATTTTATTTGGATTTACTGCAATGCCTGCTCATATCGTCAGAGAGCACGACAACTGTGACCCATTGATTTTATGGATGAACAAGCCTGCACTTGTTCATAACTTTATAAGCACATATGATATGTCTATGTACATTTTTACATTTTAAATTTCTCACTTACGATCATAAATGCCATTTATCGTACAATCCCAGTCGCACTCTCTGTGTTCTGTAACTCTACAAAGTGTTGATTAACAATATACAATATGCAGCTTTTTGGCACTCCTCTCTTGTTAACGTCTGCCTACCATGTCCCAGCACAAGCATCATACACATGGACATAGACAATATGCCATATAATAATAATAATAATGTAGAAAGTGCTGAATTTATGTATTTCTGATGTTATTAGAAGATTTTGGAAAACTGGTGAGAGGAGCAGCAATGTGTGTTTTGATGACTTTCTGGTAAACGTACAAATAAATGCCTATTTTTTTTAAGGTTTTGTGGAATTGCATCGGAGTTAATTTTTTACGTGGGGATGCCATACACCAACCCAACCAGATAACATAAGGTAGTATGTAACACATAATTTAACAGTTTATTAAAAACAAATGTACAACTTCATTTATAGACAGTTATATACATACAATCATATAAAGTGGCAATAGTCAAACACTGTATTCTATCACACACTGACAGTACGTACTTGTGCAGTAAGGCAACAATCGGCTTGATGCTTAAAGCAACAATGATGTTGTGAATGTGATGGGGGAGTATTCTAGATCTTCTCTGACACCACCACAATGTTTATATCAGACACACTGCAACTTTGGCATTGAAAACAGTCAAATACCACACACAATTAACTGACAGGCTCTTTGTATGCTACTATGTATATTTTAAAGTCCCACACAGGTGCTGCGCTGTGGCGATATTTAATTGAATAATAATGTAAGGCTCCAAGACATAAGGGCATGAATATAAATTTTGGACACATTGGAGTGATTCCATCTTAACTACACTTTTCTACTTCAGTATATAAATCTTTATAAACGAACAGATAATGGAAAGTGCAGAAGAATGTGTTGCGCCACTCATTACAACCTGATAATTCTTTAGAGCCTGCTGATGTGAAAAAAAATGAATATATATTTATAAAAAATTATAAATGGTTTTATAGGTAATCATTTTATCTGTGTCATGAAAGGCATATAAAGAGTGTTTAATATAATGTAATGCTAGCACGGTGTTCGGGCATTGGCCATGGATTCTTGAATCAGCAGAGATATTCAGACCGGGAACTGTCACTCTTATAAGTCATCTGGGAGTCGATGCTTGACCTGGAACACAGGAGCATTCGCTCTGATTCATGAGTTGGTCTCCTTGCCCAAAGCTCAGTTGGGTGAGTGTTCAAAGTCCTTTGTTTCATTGTAATTGTCTCAAACTTGACATAGCTCTCTTTTTCAAGCTCCTCTTCATCCGACGCAGTGTTATGTCCTTTACAGTACAGAGCGAGGATCTTGTAAAGCAGCAGGACAATGAGAGGCAAAACCAAAGCACAGGCAATGCCGCTGATGATCATGAAAAACCGGTTCTGCCCATCATCGTCTACGTTGTCCAATGTGTAGAAGTCAATGCAAGGGTCTTTTCCAGCTGCATTACCTTTCGCGATGAGGCAGACTGAGTACCTCATCCCAGATGACAGTCCATCTAGGAGCACTTTTCCACTGCCAGCATTAGTCTCCACCGTCCTCTTAGTGTCATCCTCACCATACGGGGAATATACAACTGTAAGTGGAGCATCATTTGGTAACCCATCTGCAGTCCAAAGCAACACTGCACTATCAGCCGTTTCCTCTACAATCTTTAGATCTTCAACAGACTTTGATTTCTCACTTTTCTTGCTCTTTTCATCTGCTGCAAGCTTTCTCCCATTGCCCCCTTGTTGACTTTTTGTTTGCTTCAGTGAGCCTTTCTGTAAACCATTGCTGGGGGTAGTTTTTGGCTTCCTAGGGACAGCAGATACTGTCGATGTTCTTGGGAGGGCTGTGGACATGACGGAGGGTGAGTTGGGAATGTCTGTTGGGGGAATAAATGTTGTGCCAAGGCTGGTTGGCCCAGTTCCGGTGTCAGGCCTTGGTGGAGGGATGGTGGTACTGATAGTACCAGCAACTGAGAGAGAAATGGTAGCTTCTGCATCGCCAGCAACATTCTTGGCTTTGCAACTATAGGTTCCAGCATCTTTGAACAATATCCCATGCAAGCTCATGATGGACCATCTGATGCCATCCCCAGGTGACTCCTGGACTGTAGAGTAGAAAGAGAATATAAAAATCAACATTGATTATAACCTTGCAATGCTAGTACTGCATACTTAAATATGTACTTCTCATCAGGCAATGAAAATCTTCAAATCCCAGACATTACTTTAGCCTCAGCTAACATGCAGTTTACAAAACCTTGCCATTATACCTGTGTTGTTGACTGGTGAGCCGTCTGACTTCGCCCAGTAAAGAGTTGGTGTTGGAAACCCTGTGGCGTCACAACGCAGGAGAACATTACTGCCCAAAGGAGATGTGATCTTGGTTGCAGATGTCATCACTGATGGTTTTACGCAGTTGTCAAGTTCAGCCCGCTGAAAAAGGACACCTGCCAGATTGTCTGGTCCAGCGCAGGTTAAGAACAGATCCATCAAAACCACTGGTGTGTCAGCCATTTTGGACATCTCAATCAGCTTGGAGATTTTGCAGTCACAGAACCAGGGGTTGTCCTGGAGGCCTGAAGATGAAAAGATGACATCAATTCTGATTATTGATCGTCCTTTCATGCAGTTGCTGTGTCAAACATCTCACACTTAAATGCTATGTTGTTATAAAGCTTTTTTGTGAATCACAGAGGTAGGAATAGGGAATACTGAGATGACATTTTAGCAGTGAATGAACAAAACAAAAGAGAGGAGATTTTCATAATGCCTGATCTACATTCAGTTGTAGCAGAAGCTGCTGTTTAAAGGAATGGGAATGATGTACTCTGTGTTAAGTTAATATCCACAGCAAACAGTGGGCATCATTAGATTGTATTGTACAAACGCTATCCCTATTTATCAGCCACCATTTGCATCATTTTTCCCCCCTTTTTTGCTCATTTTAGATTTGATGATGAAATGCAAAGGCAGTGGAAGTGAACGTATCATAAGGGAGTCATGGAGTTTCACTTACCACTTGCTCTAAAAACCTGGTGCACACAATAGGTAAGCACATGTACCAGTGCAGACTAAAGCTCTTTTAACCAGATTAGTCTGTCTTAACAGTGCCAAAGCACCTAAGCTGCCACTGGCCTTCCTCCACTTTGTAATAACATAGTCTTTCCATTAGCTTTGTTGTTAGCATAAACATCAGTGGATCACGAACAGCATAAACACGTCGTCACCCATATGACAAGTTTATAATAATAGCAAATATGTGTGGGATTTATTGCAAATTGTAAAATGGAATCTAGATTAGTCCAAAGTATATTTTTTAATGTTTGTTTCTGTATTTATTCTTGATCTACTTAGAATAGTTGTAAACAAATTCAAAATAGTTAAGTTGTGCATATCCCCTATAAAATACTACCAGGGAATGCTTGCAGGATACACTGAACAAGCTGTTGTCTGTTTCCTTCACGCTAATCCTGTTTCTCCTTCAGGTACACCAGAGCACACAACAAGCTATTTCGGCTGAGATAAGCTAGCTTGACCTTAAACGGCCTTTTAATATCTCTCCAACTGTCCATGCGACACAGATACAGTGAACGTGCATTTATTTACGTGTAATTTAGAAATATATCTAGCCAAATGAATGCTCTAGCTGCATTTTTTAATTGGATCCAGCACAGCAGTATGCTAGAACCGACCCAATTGAACGCGTTTGCCTGAACTACAACTTAAACTGCAGTTAAACTAGGTTTCACGTTTCAGTAGCACACTGGGAGTAGGTGTGTCTGAAGGCTTACCAGTATGCACTGGGGCGATATTATCATTGTGATCATCATTTAATCTATGCAGCTGCGCTGTCTGCTGCCTAGTGTTCTCCAATATTTCCAATGCTGACTGTATTTCCTATAGATTGTATAGAAAAGGTGGATGTAGCCACTGTCATGTCATCCCTTGGTTGGCTTACCAATTTAAAGCCCTAAGTTTGGCATTTGGAAGATCCAACTGATTCTGTGTTTAGATCCACCAATTTATTGGTCAAAAAAAAAAGAAAAAAAAGTGACTTTGTTGTTGATTAGCTGAAGATGAGATGACCCCTTTACTTGTCATTACAGTTTTATACTGGAAATGCCAATACATTGGTTACCTAGTCCACTGAGTCAGCATGATGCCCATTTTGGTGGCCACGCATGTCTGCATGTGTCTGCCAGACCCCACTCTAGTGGGATAGTGTTGTCGTTTCTGCATCTGTGAGCAAGCAAGCGTTCACAATGGTCTAAAGGATATAAATGTCATCATCAGAAGGTGTATTCAAGATTCTGTGCTGACAAATCCCAAAGTATTATCCCTTTTTTTTTTCACTTTTTCATGTTGTCCATCCAAACCTAATAAACAAAATAGCTCTTCTTCTCACTGTCAGACAACTGGCATATTTTTTTCTAGTGTGCATATGTGGAAATATGTGTCTGCCTCCTGATTGTAGTATGTATACAAGTGCTTGCAAGTGAATTCAGATTTCCTGCTGTCCATAAGCATGAAATGGGGAATCTATTAATTGGCCACTTGATGTAGTGTTGCCTTCGAAAGAATGTTTAAGATGAAAGATCGGAAATTTGAAAATTGCAAGAATTGTTTGAACTGTATAATTCTGTTCTTAAACTGAACTTTGTGAGCATCAGCCTCAGTTAGACCACCTCAGCAGCAGGTTCAAGTCAACCACTGTGTTTCTACAAGAACCAACCAGGTACCAACTAAACCAGTTTAACAATTTTAAAACCACAGCTTCTGAAAACTTAGCGATTGGTGTAATTGGTCATGTGCCTGAATGTACCTCCAGACAACACAGGTTTCAATCTAAACAATAAACCACAGCCATGCTAAAGAGAGAAAACCAACCCATACAAGACAACAGGTGTTTTGGGTTTATCTCAGCTTTAAGAACTTTGTATTGCATTCATGATAAGGTAGTATTATGTATAAAGATTAGACTTGAAGAAATATACTACGAATAGGAGATGAGTAAGGTTTCTTACCATATAGTTACCAACTTCTTATAATTAAACATTCAATCGTGTCACAAAAGTAAGTGAATAAATAAATGACAGGAAGTGACTGACTTCAGGATAAGACCAATACTAACAGCTGTATATGAACATCATATGCTCTGTTATCAAATGGCACCAAACCCCTCATGAGATGAACACAAGTCAATTCAGCTGAAATGTCGAAGCCCTGCAACATTTTTTTCAGCTAAACCTTTCCACACATATTCCTTTCCAGTTTCACTTGAAGTAAATGTCATGAATTCCAAACTGAGCAATAATTAATAATTACAGGCTGAACTTGCTATTCAGGCTACTTTTTAATCATTATTGAGAATAAGGCAACCAGGCCTGTGGAGGGGAAACTGTAATTTGAGCGTAGGGCAGATTTTGTTTTTGTTTGTTTGTTTCTGTATACTCCTCGTATTACTTAAGTAATAAAAAACAAGTTCATATTTTTAATGAGAAGATATCTTTTTCTTCTAAGCATAGCCTCTTGCAACCTCAAGTTATAGATGCTGTAATTTCCTTGTACATCTAACACAATACACAGGGCAATACAGTCGTCTTTCTTTTTTCTTTTTTTTTTTAATTCACCGATGAACTTGACACTGGCTTGAATTACCAAGAGGTATTGTGTTAATTATTTTACAGTTAATTAGAGCTGTAAATTAATAATATACATAAAGCATCAACTCTGCCACTGCTTAGAATAAGCTAATTTGACTGTGTCCTGAGAGTCATGACCGCTCAGGCAGAACAAGTCTGGCTAGATTAACAGGTGATGGAATGAAGTTCCTGAGGCAATTACAAATAACCCCAAGAGTGTCCTGGCCCTAATGTCTTATAAAACCAAGCCAGACAGCACATTTTCTCCTTACCTAACACGACTTTCTGAGAGGCGTTAGTAGAGACAGGTCGTCCATTAAATGGTGGCCAGATATCCATGAGATCAGAGGGCAGGGTGGTGAATTTGTTGCTGGATAAATCCAAGTAGGTAATGTTGAGGAGGTAGGGGATTGCCTCGGTGGGAACATTAGTGAGTCTGTTGTTGTGAAGATCCAGTGTCCTCAGCCTAGGCATCTCTTTGAGAGACTCCCAAGGGAATATAGAGATCATATTTCCATCCAGCCGCAGCTCATGGAGCACTTTTAGGTTGTAGAAACTACCGGTATCCACTGAGGTTACGGAATTGTAGGTAACCCAGAGGTATCGCAGGTCCACTAGGTAGTAAAAAGCCTCCGTCGGGATTCGCCGTACTGCAGTTTTCTCAATTCGAAGTTTGACAGTATCCACAGGGACATTGACGGGGATGTCAGACATGTCTGGGTCATTGCAGAGCACAGATCTGAAAATCAAAAATAAATATGTAAAAATTGTTGTGAACAGAGCATGTAGGCAGCTAACAAAACTGTTTTACAACTCGCAACTCATTTTCCATTGAGGGTGTCTCCATGAGCATTTAATTGACCTGCCAGTGAGATGTACCATCTGTATCTGTCAATGCATTATCCATACATCAATCCATCCATTTAGCCTGTCGGTTGTCATGTGGAATGCTTTCACTGCCATGACTGTAGTCCACCTAAAGGACACTCCACAGATGACAAGGTCAAAGCTCATCGCTATCATCATCAATAGAGAGTGGTCATGTGGACTATAGAGGGTGGAATAATTGATGTTACTCTCAAGGACATGCAGAGAGTGCATTTCATCAGTATCTTGTTTCTTCAAGTAAAAAACACTTTTAGCTATGATTTTAAACTTTTTGCTGCTTCTGTTGTACTGTCCTGTCCCATAATGTGTACCTGAATACCAGTGTGATGTTATCTTCTGCTGTGTTGCCACTGCTAACCTGTCACTTTTCCCCTGCTTTACAACTGGCAGATATTATCACACATCACATTACTCTCTGTTATCTTTACGTGCAATGAAGAACAGCATTTGGCACTAACAGGATTAATGGTGTAGTGGGAAATTAGGTCCGTCTCAGGTATAAACGGATTGGTGCCATGCCAGGAACCATACATTATGTCAGCACACCCTGTGCAAATTTGGGTAATTTATAAACTACTGATACCCCATTAAAAGCTGATCATTTTGATTGCCCTGATACTTTTTTGTACGTTTTTACATTTTAAGTGCAGCTGCTTTGCATTTTAATTGTTACACATTCAAATTGGGTCACACTCAATTTTTTATTTTTTTTATACACACCAATAGACATATACGTTAAAGCTCCACACTAATCATGTCAGTACAGATTGCTAAGTCCATGATTTAACACCGATGACACACCAGACAAGCCTGAGTGCTGCAAATGGGTCACTAATGCCTCTGAAAAGATGCAAACAGTTTCACAAAGTTTATCTAAGAGTACACGAAAGAAAATGTGTTAAAATTGTGTCTTTACTAGGTCATTATTTTTTAAGTGACACTACAGATAGAGTGACCTACTTTGCCAAACTCACACACAAGTCTTTATAAATGTTGCTAAATTGTCATTGATTTTCTAAGTGTACAAAGACTACCAAGGGCAGTTTGTGTGAGCACAATTAGAATACAGTTTACCTGGTTCCGACTCCATCGGTACGTCCATGGAAGACGCAGGTACACTGGGATGGACAGAAGGGTTGAGCCATACTGAGGCAGCACAGGAGTACATGCACACAAAGAAGTCGACGCATGATGTCACCGAACGCACCCAAAATGCTCACATCGAGGAGATATCAGGAAAAACGACATCCGGATTCATTGAGAGCCAGAGGAGTTATTTTTCCCACAAAAGAAATGGAGAACAACGAATAGCGCTTTCAAAATCCATTAGAGGCAACGGTGCGCAGGCTGAAGATGTAATTACAGTACAGGTGACCTGTGAGAGCGGCCATGTGGGGGAGGGAGGGGGGAGGAGATTAGTGAAGGATTTCCTAGGTTTGACAGGGTCATTCAAGCTAGCGAGCGTGGCACGACCACTCTTTTCAACACGGCACTGATTAGCTAATCCTGGGGAGGTTTCCCCTCACGTGAGCTGCCCACACCTTCGTTAATCCATTTGGTTTGCGACTTTCGTTTTGAATTTAACTCGTTTTTTGAAAATGTTGATGTTGTCACCGACACAAATTAATTATTAGATAGATTTTTTTTCCATTTTACACTCTGTTTAGTTCGTCTCGTCTTTCTGTCCTAATACCAGGCCGTGTGGTTTGGCCTGTTGTTTTCAGCCTGCTTCTAAAGTGAAAAAGGCTGCAGATTTTATTTTGTGAATTCTGATGCAAGTCCCTCTGACTCTCAAGAAATTCCATAAATGTAAATGTATTATTGAGTCAGAGGCCATATTTAAGATGTGTGAGGTAGTTCTGTCTGGCACCAGGGTGCAAAATGTAATCTTGGATATGATTTATTACCTGACTGGGTGGATCAGTGGTTTTGGTTACGGGGGCTACACTCAACCTGCCTGCTGATGACAGCTCCACAGCAGGGTGCCCCTTTCATATCTCCTGCACACTATTTGCTTGTGGCCTTTTTTTTAAAGGTCAGTTTGAATGATGATGTATGCTGTGAGCATTTTGTGCTTGACATCCGTTATGTAGATATACATAGCACATATTACAGCACAAGTTTCTCCTGGGTATAGCATTTCTCTAACGCGTAAATATGCATGTAATGAAAGACGTTCAGAGAGTTGAAACTCCCACTAGTTTTGGATAATCCTTTACCTTGTTGCCATAACCTGTGATCCCATTGCTATTATTTATATTTTATGTTCAACTGATTTTGTTTCCTTATGCAAAATTAGTTTTGGCCTATCTCTACCTTGTTTTTTTTTTTAGTCTTTTCTACATAATGTTAGAGACTTAATTTGCATCACCACCAAAGTCATCTATTCCCTGCCACAAGCCTTATTTGTAAAAGTTTAATTAGAACGACTAAGTAGAAAGGGAGACATCTAGTGGTTGTAGTAGTTACTGAGCATATTTCCTCCAGATACACATTAATTTTCTTCTTTTAACAGTAATCCATCTTTTTACAAACTAATTCTGTCTAGCCACATTTTAGAACTCACTTGACAGGTAATACACTTGATATATTGCCTCTTATGGTTATTCTACTAGATCACATATCTCGAGTATTGGTTGACATCAAAACAAAATGGACGCAGAGACCTCTGGTATTTATTAACAAGTACACAAGTGAATTTTATTTATGCAAGCAAATTTGATCATACAGGTCAAATAAGCCACTTCAAGCTGTTGGCACATGAATGTACAAAACAGATTTGATTTAAAGCCTGCTACTAAGCATCCGTAGTGAAAGTACAAAAGACTAATACAAGGAGAAAGCTGAAAGCATTTTTTCAGATCATTACAGAGTAAGCAATGTTGGTACAAGTATTAGCTTTAAGACATGGTTGAAAGCTCATCACAAACTAAATAGACACAACTCAAAGACTACAGTCTCTAATATCAGTAGCATAACGCAGTAAGCGTGGGAGGTTTAGTACTGCACATATAAACAAAGGGTTGATCCAGCAAGACAGTCAAAAGTGTAAAAATAAACAAGTGAAATAAAGTAACTTCTGAGTCAATAAGACTATATTAATGCATGTCCATGCCACGAAAAACATCTAAATTCACAGTCTTTACTAACAGTACAGTTATCCAACTTTGAGTTGAACACCAATGCGCTTACATCTAGAGAGAGCACAGAAATGGTCAAATAAGTGCATGAAACTAGCTTTGAGAAATACTGACCAAAGAAAAAAAAAATTGCCAGGCAATGAACTGACAGGTCACCTCTGTAGTTTATGGCATCGGGATGTGTAAGCAATACAGTTACTGTCATGAACAAAAATACTGTGACACACACTTTTCTCACATTTGAAAACTCCACCAAGTAGTGCCATTACACCAACAACTTTTGTCAGGCCTTCTTTTCGGTTGAGACTGATGCAGATTGGACCGATTTCTTCTTATTCTCACATGAATTGTCCTTAAATGTCAGTGCTTAACATATAGGTATGCTTTGATATATCAGTATATACAGTGCAGAGTTCTGCAAAAACAGGAGTTTAGTATTTATAAAGTTCCGCTTTTAAGAAATTAAAAAAGGGATTATGAAAGCATGTTTGCATGTGCTTTTGTGGCTCGTGATTCGAAGACAATGGAATCATTCAAAGTCCTAAAATATATTTAAATGGCAAGATTATCATAAAATAACCCACAATTTAACTTTAATTGTCTAATCCTGTCTCTAAAATCTGACTATAAAGTCCTTTTTTCCCCCTCTTTAACAGGCTTGGCACATCTAGCAAATATTTGATTTACTTTGATTTGGTATTTATTACTGTGTTGACTTGCATTCGTAGAAGTTCAAATGGAAAAACAGCTCTAACAGCTTTCACGTGAAAGTGGTTTTAATCCCTGGGAATACTGGTATGGCAAAGGCTTGCAATGCTTCATAGTTGTGTTGTGAGATTTAAAATATTTTCAAAACTAACCACCCATTCACATACAGTACATAGTTCTGGAACAAGAAATCCCCAGACACACGACATGAGAAATGTGCTTGAAAACCCTTTGAAGCCCCTGTTGACCCCCTCAGAAATCAGCAAAAAATAAATTATGCATGAGAGCAAAATGACACTTAGTATCAAATAAAATTTAAGAAAAAATAAAAAACAATTATACACAAATTATTTGAAGTAAAAAATAATAAAAAGCAAAGTAAAAGCAAAAAATACTACTGCTACTTCTAATTCTACCAACTACGCTAAAACTACGATCGGCACTAAGCAACTCTTATTCAAGAATAATACAACTGCCATAATGATAATAATCATAACACCATCCATGAGAGAGGTAAAGGGGCTTTTTTCATCTGAAATGCTGTTTGTGACTGAGGAGGTTTGTGTGACGCAACCCCCCCAGACCACATTGTCATATGACGCACCAGTGACATCAGCAGTGGCGAGGGCCCTAGGCGCCATCCGCCCCCCCCTCGGGAGGGGATGGTAGAGAGAGACAGATAGAAAGCAAGAAGAGAGAGAGAGGGAGAGAGGCCGGAGTGGCAGGGCCAGGCCTCACGCTGGTCTTTATGTGTAGGCGTTGAGACGCTCCTTGGAGCGAGTGGAGTGGATGTCGTGAAGCTCCTGCTCCTCCTTCGACTTGATGTCCTCGTACTTCTGCATTCGGCAGGCGTCCTTCACGTAGGCCCAGTTGGCAGACAGCACCATCAAGTAGTGGATCTAAGAGGGAAGTTATAATGAGTTATTTATAAAGTGTAACAGCAATACATAGAGACAAATATTAAGAATAAAAAGAAAACAAGAGCTACAGCAGAAATCAACTGGACTTCTCTTGTAGGTTCTTGAAGACGTTTTAATCCAAGAGGTTTCTTCAGTTCTAACTGACTGATGGGGAGTTACACAGTTTATAGTCAGTCCAGCTCACATGGCCCTTTTAGGTGAGAGCTGAAACTACTTTGAGAACCTTAAAGTCCAGTTGATTCCTGCTGAAGCTCCTACCATGACCTGGACAGCTGAGAATCTACACAGACAAGATCTGTGATGAGACTGTTGCAAGTTTCAGAGCAAAACTACACGATCACAAGATGTGCTGTATTCTAGTGCATCTTATGACGTAGAAATGATTGATTCATCAGTTTTATTAGCTTTGTAATGTGGTGAGTAGACTTGTGAAGCTTGTTTGTGTTGACTACTGTTTAAATTCAGCAGAACATTCTCATTAATCCAGCAGGTGGCAGTATAACGCTACTTGTAGTCTTGGCCTTGTGTTACCATGGCAGCTCAGGCTATAATGAATGCATTGTGGTTTAATGACTGGGGTTGTAACTCGGCTTTTCTTATCACAAGGAATGACAGTTTCATAGCTGCACTGTGATATGTAAAAAGATCAATCAGGCGACTGAGATTCAAACATAGAAACATTCACTTTATCTTATTTGTTTTTGTGTTTTTTGCCTCACGGCCAGTTGTTGAGTCTCATGTATTTTTTAAAGATTTTTAGTCCTGATTGCTTTGAAGCTTTTTTCGGGAGCAGCTCATTATTGGGATGCACCAGTGAGTGTGTTGTGGCTAATTTTCTCCTCCATCATCTGGATGGAAAAAAAAAAAATGAGGATGTAGTCCTTCTACAATTTGCACCATCATCTCTGACTAGAAAACACTTTCTGTTTCTCAGAAAATGGCTCCTCACAAATTACTGAGTGATGTTTGCAACAATCTCCAAGCCTTTCTTCTTCCTGTTTCCATGACAACGGCATGACATGCCTGGTGCCTCCGAAAGAGGGAGGGAGACAAACCCTGTCTTTTTCACTGCGCCAAAATGCCTTCTCTCCCATCTACAGCTATTCTCTCACAGGCAAAACAATCAGCCACAACAAAACGCTGCTAGTTTGCCAGCGACAGTAGTTCCTCTCAGTCACCTCCATTTTCAGTAACAGCCTGAGCACTGCAGATTTATTTAAAAGCAAAGCCCCTTCTTTATGTAGAGAGACTGCAATAGTTTGAAAAAAAAACTTGGACCAGTAAAATGATATCTTTCATCCTTAATTTGAGTTTTTTTTTTGTTGTGTCTTCTGAATGATGTTTTTATTGTCGTGTCGGTGGCTCACCATAGCAATAACAGCAGCTCCTGCTCCAGCAAGGGCACAGATGAACAAGTGGAATGTCATGTCCAGCTGTATAAAAAAGAAATCACAGCACATATTAAATGGTAAATGGACTGCACTTATATAACGCTTTTCTACCTTTGCAGCCCTCAAAGTGCTTTACAATGTTTTCTCATTCACCTATTCACCCGTTCACACATACATTCATACACCAATGACGACAGAGATGCCATGCAAGGCGCTAGCCTGCCATTGGGAGCAACTTCGGGTTCAGTGTCTTGCCCAAGGACACTTTGACTGTGGAGGGGCGGGGGATCGAACTGCCAACCTTATGATCAGAGGACAACCGCTCTACCACCTGAGCCACAGCCGCCCATTAGTCTGTAGTGCTTACTGAACATCAAAATCGTGTAAGAAAATACAGTGTAAACATTCAGTTCCTTCAGCTGTACGTCCATAAACCCGTATTAATATTACTAGCAAATGTGCCTGCCGGTTATTTAAAAAATGCTTCAGTCATTCAGCATCTGCGAAATATTTACAATTTAATCTATAGAAATGGCTTCACTTTGTCAGCAAACAACTCCAGACCATTACTTCTAAAAAAGAACTGTCACTTCTGTGCTCTCCTGTTCAAAACTAATTCACTTTTGTCAAATGTCTGATATATGAGTCACACTCCTGTGTTCTTTGTCAAACTTTGGGGAAAAATAATTTGAGTGGAATTCACAGTTGCAAGTCCTATATGCTGTATTTCAAAGAAGTGACAGTCAGGGCAGGTGAGAGATTTCTTTCTGTTCCATTTATATACTGCATGCCCTCTTGTTTCTATTGCTTGATGTAGAATGTCCTGTTTAAAGCTGACGTTTGAGTGTTGCATGTAGACAGCCTGACTAATCCGTGACACCCATGACAAGATTCTGGTCATGATGAGCATTAGCTGTTCGTTTCTGCAGTCGATGCAGACTCTGTTTATAGATTTGTCATCAACACATGTTACTCTGCCCACACAGAATTTACAGGAATCTGATGCATCTGTAATCTTCTGCTACTTGCCTGTGATTAGCTACACCAAAAGAGGGTGTTTAAGGCCACATAGGCAGTGATTTGGTGGGTAAAATAGTGTCTGTGCGTGTGTGTTTATGATGTATGTGTGAATTAATTAGCAGACCTTGCAAAATGTAATCCGTAGCGTGCATTATCATGGTTTGATACACAAAAGTTGCTTTATTCATACCTCATTAGATTCACACATCTTGTAGAACTTCTCTGATCCAGCACACACAGTTTTCGCCTCAGCAATTGGCACAATACCTGAAATAAGTTGGCGTATTTAAAAACATCAATTAACACCAATATGGAGTGATATGCAATAAAAAAAAAAATAAAATCCACCAGAGCAAAGACAACAACAAAGCAGCAACAAGTTCATTTGTACCAACCATTGCAATACATTTTACAATTCACGCATAGCCACGCCGCGGACATATAGGCCTTTAATGTCACGGTGGCAGCACAAATGCGTGTTGACACAGAGGCAGTATCGGTGGCTGCCGGTGGCTAATGGACTGAAAGAGATGGCAGTAATTGAAAATAATGAGCTACTGATATGATTGACTTTCATTCCTAGTTTAACATGATGTTATTCTGGATCATTAAAGTCATTTGAAAGGAAACACTGAGTTTCATACATTGTCATTTTAAAAAGGTCACCTTCAAGTTTGCTGAACCATTATTAGTGTTTCATCTGTTAAGTGGCTTACTTCACAAATTGCTTTTAAAATTTATCAAAGATTACTGCATCCCTGTATCTGTGATGCTTTTTGCTGTGCACCAAGATAGAATTTTACTCCCAAGAGGCGTACTTAAATACTTTATGTACTCTGCCAGGTAATATTACGACATCGATGTGGGACTTCTGTTGAGCAGTTAAAGAAATCTGAGCAGCAAACAAACAGGAGACTGAAGAAAAGGAGAATATTCATCCTTACCGTACTGGCGTGGGTCCAGGCAGAGCGTGGCCCCCTCCAGCACCGTGGCGTTTTGGCAGATATTCCAGATGTTGAAATATATAAAGACTGGGAGGGAGGTGAAGGCAGTCACTCCGAGCCAAGCCAGCATGAAGATATATGTCAGCATGATGAACTGAAAGAACGGAGGACAACAGATCGTTAAGCTATTGTGACGATTGGTAATTTTAATAAAAAAGTATGCACAACTGAACTGTGCAATGCGGCAGAATGGGCTTTTGTTCCAGAGCACTGTGGAAGGACAAAATCATCTTGTAAAATAAAAACTGGCTGGTGTGAGCCTGTGATCTTTTAGGCTGTGAAGTATTCCCAAGCCCTGCAGTCTACTTGCCTATTTTTGCCAGCTAATCTCATTTTGGTTTGGACATGTCCATGACCACAAGATTAATAAACCCAGTGACCACACATACCATAGCATAGCTCATTTCCTTTGTTTCCCTGTGGAGCTTTAGATTTAGTAAGCAATTAAATCCCCAAGATCATCTTGTTATGACCGCTGCAGGCTTTCTCATATGCACTGTGTCGGAGTGCTCCTAATTCTTTATTGTTATGGCTGCATAATAAAAATATTTTCACTGATGTTTTTCTGGGCACTGCGATTGCAACACAGTGTGATTTTAGGAATTTATTTTTGAAGCTGATCCACATAAACACATGTAAATCATTTATTACACAGAAGCATTACAGTGTGTTTTACTGGATGTCTCTGTATTCTACACATGAAGTTAACTTGTAAAACAAAGTAATGAGCTAATATAAATAATAATCCAATCCACATTTCGTAGAGCATCTTTAGCACTTTGCCCTAACTTTTGTTAAAAAACAAGAAATACAGTTGGAGCTCCAGACAGCATGTGTAGTGGTTGTTACAGCGGCTACTGAAACCTTCACCTACTCAACCTTCAAGGGAAACTCCCGGGAAAATGACCTGACATTTAGACTGTATGACTACCAAGTGACTCCTGCAGCAGCACTGGAAGCTTGTGTACAGTTGTAAATATAACAGATCAAAAATCTGAGCTGCATTTTACAGTTGGTACGCAGTGAAACGGTGAGCCTACCCAAGCGCTGACACAGCGTCCACAGGTGGTGATCTTGAAGTCTCCATACAGGTCTTTAATGGCTCCGCTGGTGAAGAATCCCTCCACCATCAGCAGGATGCCGTAGACGAAGAAAGCTGAAGCAATGCCGTAGATCACATACTTGATAATGTCAATCCTGGAGAATGAACAGAAAACCACTGAAACAATCCATCGTAACAAGATGTTACAGAGAGTCCATGAAGTATTGTTGAGCCTTTAGGGAACGAGGATATTTCATTGTGGTTCGAGTAATGCTGTGCTCTACATTTGTCTCAGAAATCTAAATATCATGCATGCTATACTGTCTTAAAAGTAATGGAATTTGAAGTTTTACAGTGTCTGAGCAGAGTTGTTTGCTTGTGAGTTCCAGCAGGGAGGGTTGACTGAACACAGGGACTACATAGATTGTAGAGGAAGCAGCAGTGTGTTATATCTGAGCCATTTTAAGACCTGAAAGGATTATTTTAATGGGGAAAAAAAAAAGCTTTCAGATGTTAAATCAACATCCACAAAGGGACTTTAAAGCCTGTCTTACTCACATGGTAAAGACATCCAGTGCGTCCACAGGGCTCCTCACCACCTCAAAGTAGTTCTGGAGAATGGTTACAGTGCCAGAAAGGGCTTCATGTCCGCAGCCGCAGAACAGAGCCACACCCGCATACAGCAGGATGGTGGCTATGAGGGATGGGTATGGAATCCCACCCAGGCATTTTATGCAGCACTCAAGGCATCCTAAACACACAAACAGAGTGATAAATTAGTCAACAAAGACAGTTAAACTTCTCAAAGAAAAGTGTTCTTTTCTCTGTCTGACACTGTGACACAAATTAAACTGGATTCACACTATTTTGCTCGATCTTAAATTATTCAGCAAAACATTGCCAATGGGTAAATGCATTTGCATGTTGTACACTGTACTTCCATTTACTTTTGTGAGAATCTCCAACACTCAGACCACAACTGGGAGGCTGCTGTGCATGCATGGTGGAACAAAATACAACAACTTGAATGAGGTGGATTGCACTGCTATTCTCCCTGTTACATGGGCAACTGATTTCTTTATGCATCAAGTGTCAGAGTACTCAAAGCCATAAAAGAGGACGAGATATTTAATGGCCACTTCTACTTTATCTATGCAGTTAACCGGCATTGCATTTTGTCTGTATTTTAGGTTCATGCACCAAATTCGTTCTGTCAGTTGTTCAGCCCTACAGAGGATGCTGACATTTTGTTCAGCATGAAAAACTCAGCCTGAGCTTTACATAGCGATTGTGACCTTTAACCCCTTTCTTCTTTGCCCAGTCTCCTGTCCCAGAGGCTCTTAAGGTGACTAATCACCGCTTGGCTCCAACTTCAATCTTGTGTCGCACAGTGTTGTGTTGCTCAGAGAGAAGCGGAGTCTGTAAGTGCTTGTGTGCGCGAGTGTGTCTGTATGAATTGCTTAGATTTATGAGTCTTCATCTTGCGTTTGTGTATTTGTGTGTGTGTGTGTGTGTTTTGGGCTACTGACTCAGTCATTTCTCAGAGTTGCAACAACAGAAGTGGAGTTTATTTCCTGTGCGAGCCCAGAATTAATCCAGTCTCGCAGAACATCGCAGTATATTACCCACACAGACACATTTTTTACATAATGGGACCATCCTGAATCAATTGGGACCTCCTCATCTAGACCTGTATTGAACTGGAGCGCTGCTTCCTGAGTTTACGTGGCTGTTTGAAGTCCACATCGATACACACACGTATGGAATGTAAAAAAATGTAATTCCATGTTCATAAAAACTAAAAATTGATCTTGATCAGTTACAAGATGATAATGGCCCATGATTAAAGTCGTCTTGCATTCACACCGTCGTCCTTGTTCTCAAAAGAGACTCACTGACTGTACAGTCAGGTTTGATTGTCAGCTGTGGAGCTGATAAAAGATTTCAGGATGTTTTCAGCACCATTCTTTTATAGTTATCTTGTCGTCTTCACTTGCGTTACAAAGCAGGAGTCAGAGCAATATCCCGCCTCCTCAGCTCTCTGCTTCTGACTCTGATCCAGACCTGAGTGGAATACAAAGTAGCTGGTCCGCCTGCTGGGCTGTACCGAGCACTCAGACTCTTGGTGCAGCTCCGACCCTCGCCCAGACTTGCCTAGATTATCTACATTCTCACTGATGTAATCCAGTTCTAGACTGTGGAACGCCTTTTCAGCCTTTCCACTTCATTTTTGCTCAGAGTGTACACAGTTTCTCAATAACCTGTGCAGCTTTTCACACTTGAAATCCACCTGCATCAGCTACAGTTGTCAAAAAAATCAATAACTCACTTCAAATAGACACGAGCCAGGTTATCCGTGCATGTTGACTTGCTTCAGTCTCCTGATTTTAGTCTGTTTTCAAGCATATTTTCTCAGTTCGGTGGTGCACAGTTTGAATTATGTCCAACATATGCTCCAGTCGATGGCTTAAAGAGGAGGAACATGTCTGAATCGATGGGATTTATGTAGGCTTTCATCTAAGGGCTTCCCCTGTCTTTCAGACAGATCAGAGTCTGACACATGATTATCCGTCATACTGGAGATTCTCCCACTGAACAGAGTAGGGGGACTGTGATGTCATCTCTCTGCAGTATTCCTGTAGCATCACTACCTTGGTGTTTTTCCAACACCCCCACTGACCCACCTGAGCAGAGACATCAATTTCAGGGAACACCTCCCCTTTGGTGCCTTTTAGACTATCAGGTACTCACAGTGCCACCTGACATCAACTCTCAGGCGCTTTCATAGCAATTCACACCTTTGTTCATGTGACTCTGACAACCTGCAGGAGATTTTAATGGCTTGGACTCCCTGTCTGCCAGTAAAACTGAGGCTGCCTCTTGCATGACTGGTGAAACAACTACAATTCTACAATTTCAGTCCAGTGGATGTGGCAGTTTTGATAGTCACAAGTTGAAAGTAACCATGGAGCTATTTATGTCAAACAATGCCTTGCCTTGTGGTTTTGTCATTAATTGTGTGTCCCCACTTGACCTCAACTTGACCGCTCTGCATAGCTTTTTTTTTTCTAACGTCGTTTGGACAGCTTCCATAGAAGTGAAGGTTGATTTGTTTTAATTGCATCCAAGTGTGATCACAGACTGGCTGTATACGTAGTTGTTTACACCTACTGGGGTTAAAATTGTTTTGATAAAAAAAAGTTGCTGATGATATTAGAATGACTTTTTTTTGGCCACGTAAACTTGGAAAAGGCTCCAGCTGAAGGGCAGTGCCAAGTTTCTGAGATAAAAAATGTAGCTGTGTCAGCAATAAAGTTGAGGTCAGCTCAACTTTTGCTGGACTGCAACGTGACACCAGACAAAGTGTTGCGTTTCACAATCACATATATGCAAATACACATTCCTGATTACTTTGCTATGTGCCTGTTTTTTTACTGTTTACCTTGCCATCAAGATAAATGATAAACACCTGCTAGAAAGTTGTTATTCGTAGTTGTTCCATGTATTTCACGGTCTCATTTACATCTCAAGGTCCTCTAACAGAAAGAAACAAAAGACAAGCCACCACAAATGCGGCTCCTTTTGTTTTTGGTTTGAATATCCTCTAAGACCGAAAGCGATTCTGTCAACACATCTTCCCTCAGACTCATTATCTCGAGTTGGCTTATCGTTTCAGGAAGCAGCCAGTGACAGGATTTATTGATGCTGTGGTGTTTACTGACAGGATGAGAGCAAGAGAGAGAGAGAGAGGCCTGTCACATATACCTTCCATGCTCTCGGTCAGTGTGCTGGTTTAAGCCAGAGTGAGAAGAATCAGCTGTTGAGACGATTAAAACACTCACCGAAACAGACACAAAACAGGTAAATGAATCAATGAACACAATATATCCTAATGTTCTCAATTAATTAATTTTATATTTCTATTTATTATTCTCAAACTTTTATTCTGAAATTCCCACTGTGAGAAGACATCTGAAGTGAAAGCAAAGTCTTTCTTTTTTTTTTTTGGTTCCTTCGAGACATGCTAGTGGGATTGGGTGCTATAACTGTGCGGAGCCAGTACTTAACATGTTGGGAGACGAGTCGTAAGATAAATGATTTATGTCGTGTCCTCAATCAAGGTTTATTACCCTTTGCATTATTTACATATACTCCTCTCAGATTAAACCGGCTTCAGTCGAAATCTCGCTGTTCGTCATTTTAAATCTATTTTACTTTTCCTTGACGTACGTCAGCGCCAGTCAACTCAGTAATCAGGTGTAATCACTGCTCTTACAAACCCAAATAACTAAATTATACCCACCGGTTTGCATTATTACAGTTTTGTTACAGCAAAATAACGTCGTCTACGTGACTTGACTGAAAGGAGGTGTTGTTTCCATGGAAACAGCAGAAGATGAAGTTACGGGGCAGGATGAGAGCGTTAGCGAGTGGATGTAACAAGAGTGATGTTTTATTGATTGTCTGCTCCTAATTTTGTGCAATGGAAACTCTTTGGACCCAGTGAAGAGAGGTGTACGAGGGAAGCACACGATTAAATTACCACGTCAAATGATCTGACAGATTAAAATTACTGCTGCATAATAAGTCCTGCATCATGGTCTCAGAGGGAAAAAAAACAGTCCTCACTTTATTCAGCTGTTCTTTCTCTAACGCTTCGTTGGGTTTCTTCATATTTTTTTTGAGAAACTGCATTAAGGATAACTGACGAGCTGTGATTTGTTTCCGTACTAATGATATCAAGTGTTACTTGTCGCCGTCACTGCATTGAACAAAACTTTCCCTCATACCAGCACACACTCTCATTTCCCCTCAGTAACACTTCATTGATCTTAACTGACTGCAAGATTGAGCTCGTGAAAAATGGCAAATGGTGGTGCATACTGACTCTGAGAGCTACTGGATGCTTGATCCATAATTTAGAAGTGGCACAGTGCAGCAGCGCACAAGCCTCTCACATTCATTATTCATGCTTTCTGCTTAGCCCAACGTTACCTGTGATAAAAATAAAAGATCCCGTGCTTGATGAGGGGTTGCAGGTATTTGAATTGATCTTGATAGGTGTAGTACTACTTGTGTTTTGAAGTACTCGCTGACCGTGAAGTTGGGAATTTGGCCCAACTAAGCTGATTTAAATGGACCAGGAGCAGCGATAACAACGAACTTTGGCGTGCTCCCACCTGAGTTTACTTTAATGTTTAGTGTTGTTTTCATGGCAGAAAGGAGAAAATGGCAGATTTCCCTCAACTTTCTTGCTTTATTACGATCTGGTGGCTATTCAGAACCCGAAAAAAAAAAAAAAATCTTGCAAGTGTTTATTTTTCACATATCCATGTTTGTCCCACCATCAGGGAAGAAACGTTGAAGGATTTTCTTCACGCAGAGTGTTAATTAAATATATTTCACAGGCCAAAATTAAAAATCTGGCAACACAAGGATTAATTTTATTCAATTTTGAACAAAGAGACAGGATTTCACAAGATGGTGGGGGTTTAAATATTTTATCCTCCACACAACAAAGCCTCTGTTTTTTTTTGTTGTATTTTTTTAAAGAAAAAAAAGGCCAAAAAAAAAAAAAAAAGCGAAGCCTGTGTGACCCCAAACACCGTGATCCAATCAACAGAAGGCGTCTCGTTAATACAAAGAGAAAGGATGACCCCCTCCCAAGGCCCCTCCCACCTCCCACAACTCCTCCATCTGTCAGTGTCATATCCGACAGGCACACACTCAGGTCCTCACTGACCCAGTCAA